ATATAAATTTTGTCTCTTGCTTTTGTCTGCCGTCACAGCACAACTGAGACGTGTTCACACATTCAAGCCTCCCTGTCTTTTTAATTGTGGTCTGTGAGTGTCTGTAAAGCCTGCTCAGCCTCATTATAGAAAGTCTCAGTGTTATAACAGTAATTAACCTTGATGTGTGTCTTAAACTGGGCCGTCCTCGAAAAATACTTGAAAATACTTGAATTTGATGTTTGAGAAGGTGTGGAAACCCTGTTATAAGCTTATATAAATATCACATTGTTCTCTTGACACAGTTGAGCAACCGTCTGTTCCAACCAGAGAAGGAGGAAGAAATCAGTCAAGTGTCTTCTTCATTCAGACACTTCAGCTCTTTTTCTTTTAAAAACAGATTTATTTTGCACATTTTATGTTGTACATTTTTCTATTTTATGTGTTTTACTCTTGAATCACAACTCAAGGTCCGATTACTAGCTTTATTTCTGGAGCTTTCAGCTTCATCTTGTTGTCTTCCCCAGCCTTGCTTCTGTGCAGTCTGTGGTCATGTGTTTTTTTGTTAAGGGTCCAGTGGGTACGTTTTAGGGGGATCTATAGGCAGATATGGTATAAAATATACATGACTATGTTTTCATTAGTTTATAATCACCTTAAAATAAGAATCCTGTATTTGTTACCTAAGAATAAGCTGTTTATATCTACATAAGGAGCCGGTCGTTTTCCACAGAGACCATACTGTTGTTCTACAGCAGTGGTTCCCAACTGGTGGATCTCGTTCCAAAAGTGGGTGGCAGGTCCATTCTGAACGGACCACAGAGCGTTTCAAGTTTGTAAAAAAAAATAAAAACACTTAATTTTTACGTACAGTGAATTTCTGGCACAAGCTTTTATTCTGAAGTGCCATTTCCTGCTGTGGAGTGAGTGAATAACAGACAGCTACTTGACAGAGACAGCAAACTAGCTCAACGACATGGCCAAACACAAGCATGACACTGAATGTAGTAAACTGTGTGGACCTTGAAGTAATGACTGAGGAGAAAACTGGACCCCATGGCTAGACCGCTACTCTAAAAAGGGCCATTCACGTTTTCAGGGTTTTCCACCGACCACCACAGTTTTCCTACACGTTTGACATATGGGAGAAGTTTCAGTTCTGCAACCTCACCACTAGATGCCACTCAATCCTTCACATCAGACCTTTAAACTCTGTGATCTAAACTGGTGCCTGTATTTCACATTAAAGGCAGAATTTTAAAGATTATTTTAAAACCTTTTACTCGTAATGACTACTACTTGTACCTCTACATTTACTCATGGTTACAGTCTACACTGAGTTCAAATTCTGTTCTTTTAAAAGGACAAACTGCAGAAATACATTGTGATTTATAACACTGGTATCAAAATCTAGAGCTTCACACAAACACTGACACAACTTGTTTAAATTTAATTGTTTGTAGTCTTTTGAAGGATTGACCCTCTGAAGGCTTGAGGGTGGCTCTGAAAAGTTTGTAATTTGCTCCTTTGTGGAGGACAGCAGCTCTCGTCAGTGTCGATTCACACCAGAAACTGAAGGTTACCGAAAACATATGTTCATAAAGGCTTTTTAAAAACATTTTTCCAACATTGATGCGTTTGTTCAGTACCTTCCAAACACTCAGCTGCCCTTACAGCCTGCAGGTTGCAAGTATATAAAAAGATGGAGTTTTTGTTGGAGTTTTCCTTTCACTCTCTGAAGCATAGTGTTGACGTTAGCTTGTTTAGAGTAGGTTTCTTGTCTTTAGAAGTGGAGGGTCTTTTCCACTACACTCAGCTTTTGTTTAAAAAAAGCCCAATTTCTCTGTGTGTTTGTGTACATTTTCCTGGATGGGTTCGTATATGTTTGTTCTCAGGCTTTTCGTGGAGATCCTCAACAGCTGCATGGACTGTGATGAGATCCAGTTCAAGGAGGATGGCAGCTGGGCCCCCATGAGGTCTAAGAAGGAAGTGCAGGAGGTCTCGTCTGCTTCCTACAACAACGGGCTGGATGGTGAGACATGACATGGGGGGCTGAATGGGGGGACAGGGTGGGGTAAGAGACAGAGAGGCTGCCTCTATATGAAGGCGGTGAGAGGAGCCTGGAAGTAATTAAATTAGGATTACAGAAACGTGGTGAGAGGAGAGAGAGAGCGTGCATTCACGTCCCCTCCCCTCTTTGTTTATGCATTGTCAGTTTTAATTTGGTAGGGCATCAATCATGATGCCACTGAGTAAACTGCCTGTCTCCATAGTAACAAACACACTATATCTCATACGAGAGCAGCGGAAGTGTGCATGCGTTTTAGCATAATTTAGTTTTCAGCAGTGCTTTGTTGCAGTCCCAAAAAAAAACATCCCAGCAGCACACAAACATAACTAACACGTCTGCTGCTCTGCAGGTTCATGTCGGACGTCCGCGGGCTCGGACCAGCGGAGCTCCTCCTCATCCAGCCACGGTGGCAGCGACAGCACCAACAGCAAGAAAGTGGAGGTAATTGACTTGACACTGGACAGCTCCTCAGAAGACGAGGGACAGGATTCGCCGCCTCCGCCGCCGCCACCACTGCCTCCTCCACCCAAAAGAGCGTGTCCCTCTATGTCCCCGACCTCGCCGCCCATCATCAACAAAGGGTCAGACACACACCCACTCAAGACCCCGACTTCATCTCCTCATGTTTGTTTTTCATTAAATGTGGAAATGAGGCTCGTTTTAGCTGCTGACATGGGTGGTAATGTTTCTGGATGTTAAATGATTCATGAGTTTTGCACTTGAAGGCACTCAAAGTTTCTTTTACCATTTCACTTCAAAAGCACTCACAGAAGGAAGCCGAGTGCTGACTGAGAACGCTTTGCGTCTTAACTCTTTTACTTTGGATCTATAGATTTATAAGTGGGTGACTTTCCAAAAGAGAAACACTAAAGCTGTTTGTTTTTCTGCACATTAGAATCGCGATCAGAGGATGAAAGTTCAGTCAGTCCCTATTTCACATTTACATAAAATGTCAAATTAAGTGCTCGACAAACCCCCCAGGATCTGGAAGGATTGGTAACATTCAGCTAACTGACCTTATAGAGCTGTGGAGAGGGAAGAGCTATTTTGGGCTGGTTTTGGGAAGGAACCGTCCTTTTCATTTTTCCCACTGACAGTATTATATGACATGAAACTCACCAGTCGAAAAGATTGATTTTAAGGTCCAGTGTGTAGGATTACGGGTGATATTATATTTATACTTATGTTTTCAATAGTTTATAATCACCTGAAAAATAAGAATCTTGTTTTCGTTACCTTAAAATGAGACGATTATATCCACAGAGGGAGCGGGTCCTCTTCGTCATAGTTTGCCATGTTGTTCTGCAGTAGCCCAAAAGGGACAAACCAAACATGTCTATATTTAACAAATAAATATGACATAAAATAAAAGCCTCATTATAAATTAAGTCTCCTCTTTACCTCTTCATCTCTTGACCTCTTTCTCTATCTGCCTTCAGAGTTTTGAACCTGCACCACCAGGCCTCTCCTGTGAGCCGCACTCCCAGCATGCCAGCTGTAGACACCAGCTACATCCCTCCTGTCCCCCCACTCATCCAGGACTTCAGACCCTACTACCCCACCCCCAACGACCTGTCAGGTAACGACAATCACACAAGATGACTTGAGCGAGGTCACTGGTCAGAGCAATAGCATGATATTCAGACATGTAATGCATGTATTTAATCCTAACTGTATTTACTCTGGAGTCCATCCTTTACCAGACAACAAATTGACATCTTTAAACCAACTCTCCTAACTTTATCGCAAATTCTACTGGAAATCCAAATTTGCCTAAAATCTAAAATATTGTATGTCAGCTTGCCTTGGTCCACAAGTTTGAATCTGCCCACTCCACTGAGTTCGAGTTGACTGATTCTGAAGATGAAAATGGATTATAAGAAGTTGACAACTCTGATATCAGGCAAATGTCAAGCTGAATTTCTAATAAATTATATAAATAAAAAAGAACAGAAATCAGTATTCTTTTATAGCCACAAAATCATTATGGTGACTTCATAAAGTGTCAGAATAAGCAGATAATCATACAGTGTAGAAAAACTCCAGCGGAAATTTAACAGGAAAACAAACAAATTTAAAGGGACAGTTCACCTCAAAATCAAAAATACACATTTTCCCTCTTACCTGTAGTGCTGTTTATCATTCTAGATTGTTTCAGCATTAGTTGCTGAGTGTCAGAGATGTCGGCTGTAGAGATGTCTGCCTTCCCTTGAATATTAAGGAGCTAGGTGGCACTTGGCTTGTGGTGCTCAAAGACCCAAAAAACTACAGTCGAAAAACTCAACAGCAATGTCTCTTTCCTTAAACTTGACCCGGTTAGCAATAACTAAGAAATGGCTAAATAAGGAACCATCAACAAAGGGAGAATGGGTAGCAATTGTTAAGGAAATATATGAGATGGAGAAACTGACCTTCTCTCTATGACCAAATGGCTATTGCATATGAGTAAGGATATTACGTAGAAGGAAAGGAAGCATGTGGTGGTGATTTCTTTGCTGTATTTATCTGCTTTGTATTCCTTCCTTAAATGAATATATTTATTACTTTCCTCCAATTTCTTCTCTGTGATTTACATGTTTATGGGATGTTGGATGGCGATGTTTATTTTTACTCCCTTTGAGGGTGAGATGGAATAAGACCAGTGTGGACTTGAAAGGACTCTTGCCTGACGCTCTGTTGACGTTGTCTTTATAGGTCTGTCCTCCCTCCTCGGACTAATCGGAATGTAATGAATGAGATAGCTCACGTTACAGCTCAGCCGAAAAAGTCTGTGGATTATCTTGAGTAAGGTCAGGTCATGATTTAAGGAAAGAGACATTGCCGTTGAGTTTTTCACATGTATGTTTTTTGGCACTTTGAGCAGCACAGGCTGAGTGCCATCTAGCTCCATTATGTTCAAGAGAAAGCAGACATCTCTATGGTTGATATCCCCAACACTCACACCAAAACTATTTAGACTGATAAATAGGGCTACAGCTAAGAGAAAAAAAACAAATATTTTTTGTGGTGAACTGTCCCTTTAAGTTGTCTGAGAGTGACAAGTGACTTTTTTTCTAAATCTTTTTTTTTCTGTAAAAGCTCTAATGCGGATTTTTATAAAAATGCATTTGGTTAAAAACACCTTTAAACCCCTCTGTCTGTATAATATGCCTCGGGCTTTCATTAACTTAAACACATACAGTTTGTATTTGGATCTGTGATATTGATTTTGTTGATATTCACCACTGACTCTGCCTGTGTTTGATTTTCAGAGCTGAACTTCTTCTCTTTCCTTCAAGGCGACAATCATCAGGTACGTACAAACAGTACATCCCTGAATGTACCATCTGAAACACTTTCACTGATGTCCTGGAAGACTGTGACCATGGCTCATTTTTAAATAATTCAGCTGAGTAAATGGGGGGAGGGGCACAAAGAGGCTTGGACTGTACGTGTGACCATAACTTCTTCTTGAGCTCACCCAAAAACAAAGTCAGAGCCGTGCACTGAGTGTTCCTGATAACAAACTTCCTCTCTACAGTAAACAGAAGAGTGATTAAAGATCCCTCATGCAGAGTGAAACACTTAAGAATAAAAAAAGAACATAACACACACACACAACCCGCTGGTACACAGTTCATCTGTGTCACTGTCTGTTTCTGTCTCTACGGGCGACGTGAGAGCGAGACATTTGACAAATGATGGTCGTCACCCCACGGTTACTGGTGGGTTGAATTCTCTCAGGCAGTCGAGCATAAATACAGACATCTCTTCGTCTCTGACATCTTCTATTCTGCTCTGTTTGAGATCTGTTATTAAAGATTAACATTTTAAAGGGTTGCTCCTCCCAAATAACCTTGAGGGGTGTGATATGTAGCTGTTCACAGCTTTGGTTCTGAGATTTCAGCTTCAGTCGGGGTGAATGGAATATTTGGTTCTCACCAGAGGCATAGATTTCAGGAAGGGGGACACAGGGGACACGCCCCTCTCAATACTTAGAACATGGACATTTGTCCCCCTGCTAATAGAAACATGAAAGTAGGAGAGAACTTTTATTTTGATGAAATTAAAGACATTGCCACCATAAATTGATGCAGAAAATGTACAAATCGTTGCTTACAAATTCACCAGAATTCAGGAAATTTAGTGCTTGACGCTCAATATATGACCTGGCAGAGATGCTCCAGTGCCCTGGTTGCCCTGGTTACTCTGGTGAGTCCAAAGTCCTCACTGCAAACTAGGGGTGGGGGGACAATTTGATTCTTAGGGTGCTTTCAGACCTTGAGTTGTCTTGCTTTGGTCTGAATCAGGGACTAATTATGTTCCAAAGTTACATAATTGCCTAGAGTTGGTTCGTGTTCTCACGGCAGCATTTATAAGCGGACCAGATAAAATGCCTCGTGTGAGAAAGCTGCTCTTGATTGGTCAAAATTTCCATGTGGGAAAAATCCAGGAAGTAAACAAAACATGGTGGTCAACGCAGGTTGATTTTAGCGCTGCTCATCGTGGACTATATTGCTGTCATTGTTCATTTTAGGCAAACCATACAGTTTGAAAACGAGGCGCGGCTCCAACTAGAAAACAATCAGTACGTTTACATACAGCTTGAGAAAATGGAATTATTGGCTTAGTTTGACTGAAATTGGACTGTCCATAGCTCGACCAACACACCTAGATAATTTTTTTATTTTTTGGAGGCATTTTTTCCCTTTAATCGACAGGAAAGTTAAGCGTGAAAGGGGGAGAGAGAGAGAGAGGGAATGACATGCAGGGCCACAGGCTGGAGTCGAACCCAGGCCACTGCAGCAACAGCCTTGTATATGGGGCGCTAGTCTGGGGACACTCCTTTCTAAAGTGTGTTTAACACACCGGCAAAAATGGCCGGCAACAAAGCAACGCCTCTTGCATTTTTGAAAAGGACACGCCCTCCCGGAAATGTGCGCTCCCCCTTTTCTCGTCCGCAAGGAAACAAACACAGAGAGCTTGAAAATGGATGCCGAGAGATTTAACTCCGTTTTATCAAACGTGTGCTCAGTCCTCAAGATTGTGGAATGAAGGACTTACAGCGACTTGAGCCATTTTGTACCGCTACACGTGTTTCTAGTCGGACTATGTTTACGAGCACAAGAGTTCAGCGAGCCACTGAAGGACCGCCCTGCAGATTTACTGTTGGTTCTGCAACGTAGAGAGTTTTTTTTAAACTCTGAAATTGTATCCGCCCATCTAAACACAAAATCAGGGAGAAAGTCATCAGTCTTTAGTTAAGCAAAGCATCTAAAGACTGACTTGTGAGTCTAATGGGGCGCCTGCTCTATCCACTAAGCCACCAACACCCCACACCTAGATAATCTGATTGAAAGTTGAACTATTGCTGCATGTATCCACTTAGTCTGACTAGAGTTGGACTCAGTGTTCTGCGCATGCGCCACTTTTTATTTTGCGGGCTTTCACCCAGAAGAAGAAGGAGATGACGTAGCAGCAGTTCAGTATATAGCAGTGCAGTAACTCCCGGACATCACTCACAACACGACAAAGATTACAGGTCTTTGCATGTTGCTCTTCCTATAGGAGCGCCACAATTGGGCAGTATATGTGTGTATTATATAATGTGAGATTTTTTAGTATGTCTGAAACCCTAGTATTAAGCCAATAGTACATGAATTGTGTAGTGTTTTCAGTGAAATATTAGAGTATGCAAACACTGGACACTACACTGGCATAAATATCCCACAGCGGGTTAGCATGAGCACCCACAGATGAATAAAATCCGACCGGCACTGCCTGGTTTAATAGCTAGCGTATGGAAGTGTTTGGCTGTGAAGCTGAAGAGAAAAAGGGACCTGTACAAGAGTCACATTGTATGCAAGTAAAATAATCTCTTTATTTAACTATGGATCACTACATAAAAGCCACGTGTGAAAAGTAGCAGGTATTCACAATGTGTCTGTGAATCTGTGATGGATCGAGATGCACCCATAATAGTTTTATTATCGTAGCCCTCTGAATCGTAATTGATTCGTGAAGTGCCGCAGAGATTCCCGTCTCTAATGAATAAGGCCTCTGGTAACTTTAGCAGCCTCTAACTGTGAACTCACACTTCCTTCTTTCTTGTGTTCCTCCCGCGGCTCAGCATTACAACACCATGGTGATGGCAGCAGCAGCCGCCGCTTCAGCCTCAGACGACCACGAGCTGCTTCTCAACCGCTTCCTGCCCTACAGCACCTCCTCCTCCTCTTCCTCCTCCCAGCTGTTCCTCGACCAATCGGGAGCCTCCTCGGCCACTTCGCTGACCGCGCCGACCAACGGCGCGAGCAACTCGGGAAGCAGCAGCAGCCTGGTGTCGTCCAGCAGCCTCCGCGACACTCACTCCACACACTCGGGCTCACACTCCTCACACACACACCCCGGGGTGGTTGCAAGCCGGAGCAGCGCCGAAGCAGCAGTGGCAGCTATTTATGGCGGGATACCTGACGTTATATCGTTGGACTGACTCGGGGAGAGTCGAGACTACACTTTGGGTCCAACTACGATCCGGTAACAAACTTTTTTGACTGCAGGGTAAAGTTTTGATGCAGAAACTAGACTGGCCACGAGTCATGAGAACGTTTATGGAGCCGCAATGACGAGACTGCCTCATGAAGAGCACTAATATTATGAGTGGGTAACAGGCCTGAGGGTTCGCTTCACGAGACTGACCCGAGAACAGTACTGAGTCATCACTTGGAGGGGTCAGCTGTGGACATCGTGTTTGTGTCCTGAATTCAGATCAGAAACCTGTCCAGCATGTGAATCCGCGAAACTGCGATACTGGTACCAACCCGGCACAAAGAAGCAGAGACGCTACCTGAGCAAAAACACAAAGGAGGACGGCTCTTTTTTACAAAAATGAGGAGTGGCACCGTGTACAGAGAACAAAATATATTTTCCTCTTTTACTTTTGTATGTTAAATCGGAACATTTTCAGTCTAGTGAGCTGCTTCAATCGCTGTTTTTAAGTGGAGGACTGAGGTGTTCTGTTTTGTTTTTCTCACAAAAGCTTATACATATGCTTGTTGCCATGTGGTTATCTTTTCTCCCCTTTTATCCTGCTTTTTTTTTCATTTGCATTTCTCCAGTATATTCCCTTTCTCTGTTTTCTCTCTTGCTCGAGCTCATTTTTAAACTCATGGTGTATTATTTCTCTGTCCAATGACAAGAACACTGAATATACAGTTTATTCATGTACTAATAATTTTATTATGCTTTTAAATTATGTATATTTAAACTATATATATATATATATATATATACCCTGATTAGCCACAGCATTCAAACCACTGACAGGTGAAGTGAATAACATTAATCATCTCGTTACAATGCCATGTTCTGCTGGGAAACCTTGGTTCCTGACATCGATGTGGATGCAGCTTGACACGCTCCACATAACGACACACTTCCGGACCAAGTACACCCCCTCATGGCCTCATGGCAACACCACTCCCCGATGGCTGTGGCCCCTGCAGCAGGACAGTGTGCCGTGCCACACTGCAAAAACTGCTCAAGAATGGCCCGAGGAACACATCAACCTGGCCTCTGAATCCCCAGATCCCAATGTGATTGAGCATCTATGGGACATGCTGGTACCCCACAGGACTCAAAGGATCCACCGCCAAAACCCTGGTGCCAGACACCACAGGACACCCCCAGAGGTCCTGTGTCCATGCCTTAGCAGGTCAGAGCCAAGCCAGGTCCAAGGAGGTCCCACCGAGGATCAAACGCTCTCTGGGCTCTGGTTCGGCTCTTGGATACAAGCGTCCCATGCTCGACCAGGTTGGGATCTGGGAATTTGGAGGCCAGGTCAGTGCCTCAAGCTCTTTGTCACATTGTCCTGCTCGGGGGCACTGCCACTGGGGAGTGGTGTTGCCATGAGAGGATGTACGTGGTCTACAGAGGTGTATGGGTAGGTGGAGTGTGTCAAGTGGCATCCACGTGAATGCCAGGACTCCAAGTTCCCAACAGAACATTGCATTGTAACGAGATGATCATGTTAGTCACTTCACCTGTCAGTGGTTTTAATGTTGTGGCGGGTCGGTGTATACACAGTGTATATATGTATGTACGTATATACACTGTGTGTGTATGTATATATATATATATATATATATAGATCTATATATATATATATAGATATAGATATATATATATATATATATATATATATATATAGATCTATATATATATATATAGATATAGATATATATATATGCATTCCCTTTGACCTTCAGGTTATTGCGGTGAGGAGTGTGCAGGTGAAAATTAGCCATTTCTGGTTTTTCATTTTCACTCCTTGATTTCCACTTCTTTTCAGACTCTGCCGGCATTCAGCATTTAGACATTGAGACTTTTAGACTCTTTATACTTGCCAATTTAGAGTTTTGAGCTGGAAGAGTTTTTTGTTTTCTTTCTTAGGGTTTTTTTATTTATTTTTTATTTTTTTGCACAATGCCAAAAATAAGATACGGTACCTTTGAAAATTCTCACAATAATCAGAGTGCAGTTGAATCTGTGTGCCACAGCATTTCCAGTCCAAGTGTACACGTCTTCGTTTCCAGCTGGTGGTCATTCAGACACTTATACTGTGTTCTTTTGTCTCTTGTCTTTAGTTTCATCATTTTGTTTTTTTGCCGGGCTGTTGTCAAGCTGTTTTAGCAGTGTCGGGCATTTTAAAGAGATGGGCGACCATGGCATGTGAAGTTTAAACGAGTGCCTGTGTGTGTGCATGCTTCACAGCGTGTTTGGGATGTTTGAGTTTTCAAACTCAAAAGAATGTCTTAACTGGTCACCCACGACCTCTGTCCCATCTCTGTCCGAGCTTTTTGCGAAGACTTGACTTGTGACTGATAGCTTTGGTGGTGTAGGCGTTACCTTGGGAGGTATCTTTGGGAAACTGCTTGTGGAAAATCACTGAAGAGTGCCACAGTGAAGGAGGGAGATCTCGACATGCCAACTTACACTGGGCACAAAGCCAGCTGGTTTAAAAATACATGACTTGTCTGTAATTTAAAAGCCCCACAAGCTCATTGGGGTATAAAGTGGAAGTGTCAAAGCGAGGTGGTGTACCTCGATTCAGCTGGAATTGCAGTTTGCTTATGAATGTATTGTACAGTTTTCAGAGTGGAGGAACTGTTCGTCTTTGCTCCTACTTCAGTTATTAACAGAGGTCGTAGAGGTCACATACCAGCTACATACAGTAGACCGCCCGCCCAGTCACAGTGAGCCCACCCCTCCTCCAAGCCTGTGTGTCCTTGAAACTTTCCCTCTTATCAGTTCCTCCTCCATGTCCCACTTCCAGACGTCTGAGACAGGCAGCTCACTTCAAAGCCCAATTATCCCCCCCGCCATGAGATAATCACTTCTGACAGCCACCCCCCCCCCCCCCCCCCCCCCCCCCCCCCCCCCCCCCCCCCCCCCCCCCCCCGCCACCCCCCCCNTCTTGGCATCTTCCTTGTTCTTCTCATGGGAACCAACCCCCGGCTCTCAAACTGACCCGGAACAAGTCTCGTGTATTTCCTGTGTTGTGCAGTATTTTATTTATTTTGTATTCTTATTTCTATATATTATATTTTTTACAAATTGTTTGATTTGCCACGGGTGAGCGTGTGAGCAAGCGTCACTCGGGAGCTGTTGTGATATCATTTTATTTAATATGCATTTTATTATTATTCCTTGCCAGCAGCATGATGTCTCAATAAGGTACCATTTAGTTATTTGTCACAGAGACGCCTCTGTGTATTTTCTTGGGAGCTGCCATTAGTAACACTTTATAATGATGGCACAAAACACACAAGCATGACTCATGACTTTTATGTATTAATTAATTCAGGATGTATTATGAATTCCTGTTGCTCACCTCGCTGTGAGTTTATGAGATTATTTAAAGCTTAATGGATCATCTGCTGATGATTAACTCAGTTACTTAATACTTTAATTTATGTGCCACCAAATTATCTGGAATCCAGTTACATAGAAAAGGGATAGTATTACGTCTCCTAGAAACATGAAGCTGTTTATTTATCAGTCAGACGCAAACATCGACGTGTTGCTGCAGAAATCATCTTTAACATTGTTGGCACAATCAGATCAGGTCTTTGGTCCAGATTGAAATATCTATGTAACAATTATATGGATTACCATGAAACCTTTTAGACATTCATGGTCCCTCAGAGGATCAGTCCTACTACCAAATTTTAGCAACAGTATCAGGCTAAGACACTGTTAATTAGGAAGTACTCGTTTGAAGACATTGGGACTTAATTGTCATTGACAATGTTTAGTTTTTTGTACTTACCGGGTCCTACTGATCCCACATCGCTAGGAGGAATTAAAAATGCATACCAAACAAAAGTTTGGGTCTCAGGAGGCTAAACACGTCTATCCATTAATGCCCTGTTTTGCAGAGCGGTACCTGCCAAATGTTTTTCGTTTTAGCGCACCGTTCTCTTCTTTGCTGCACTCAACTTCTTTCAACAACAAAAATATCTACACAGATTTAAAGATTCACTTGTTAGCTTTTAAAATGTGGCAGATAGTGACCACTGGGTCAAGCAGCAACATGCAGATGTTTGAAATTAATAGAAAACATCTTCATACTTCTATTAGAACAGGTTACTGTTAAGCTTTCAAAGCAGGTGATCAAATATATGGCGCTGAAATGACCTTGTTTCCAAGTATCCAAGTTTGGTGATTTTGAATTTTGAGAAAAATCTCCTACTTCTTAAGCAAAATAAACAACTTAAAACCCCATTCAATTGGCTGAAAATACATTGTCACAACACAGGTGAGTTTTTCTTACCTCCTAAAAAGTAGAACTTAGTAGTGACACCACTAAGGTTGTCAAGACTGGTGATAACAGTTTTGATACCATATGTTTAAAACAGTGTTAATTATATGTTCGACAGTATGAAAAGTACCAAAGCTATTTAAAAAAAACCAGATCTACAATCAGATTTTCAACCCAAGGCTGCACAGATGAAGGGAAGAAAATCAGCTGGTCTTTGACCTGTGGCTGTTGAGACGTTCTCTCCAGAAACAAACCCATCATGTGACTGGAGATGTCTGTACCAGCACTGTGTGCAGGTTCTTAATTTGTTTAGAAATAGAAAACATACTCTATGTTTTGTGCCCTAAAACTTTTTTATTTTTGCCATGATATGGAAAGAGGTATGGGATATGTTTTTTTATATTAGTGTTGTATAAAAGTTTAAAATGCTTGTTTTGTGACAACTGGCGATGCTTCTGTATGTAATTGGATTCTGGGGCCGGTTTCACAAAACACCTTAAATTCAGATTTTCCGTAAAGTCCTAGTTAAGGTTTCTTTAAAGTAAAAAAGCAGTTGCACAAAACATCCTTACTCTTCTCCTTAAGGTTTCCTTAAAATGTTCACTGAAGTATTTATGGTTTTCTCCTTGTCTTAAGTTCAGATTTTCATTAAAGCCCTAGTTAAGGTTTTCTCAAAATAACATCCATTGAACAAAACACCTTCAATTCAGATTTTTCTTGAAGTCCTAGTTAAGGTTTTCTCAAAATAACATCCGTTGAACAAAACACCTTAAGTTCAGATTTTCATTAAAGTCCTAGTTAAGGTTTCCTCAACAACCAAAAAATCAGTCTCACAAAACACCTTAAGTTCAGATTTTCATTTAAGTCCTAGTTAAGGTTTCCTCAACAACCAAAAAATCGGTCACACAAAACACCTCAAGTTCAGATTTTCGTTTAAGACCTAGTTAAGGTTTCCTCAAAATAAAATGGGTTGCACAAAACACCTTAAGTTCAGATTTTCAATAAAGTCCTAGTTAAGGTTTCCTCAAAATAAAATGGGTTGCACAAAACACCTCAAGTTCAGATTTTCGTTTAAGACCTAGTTAAGGTTTCCTCAAAATAAAATGGGTTGCACAAAACACCTTAAGTTCAGATTTTCATTAAAGTCCTAGTCAAGGTTTCCTCAAAATACAGTTGGTTGTACAAAACACCTCAAGTTCAGATTTTCCCCAAAGTTGTAGTAAAGGTTTCCTCTAAATAAAATCGGTCGCACAAAACACCCATAACTCTTCTCCTTAAGGTTTCCTAAAAATGTTCACTTAAGTATTTATGGTTTTCTCCTTGGCTTGGTGTTATACTTAAGGAATCCCTAGACCGCTGCACAAAAGACCTTAGCAACCAAAGCAAGGTTTAAAAAAAAAAACAAAAAAAACTTAAGGTACCTCTGACTCTATCTTAACTGCAACGTGACCAAGTTCCTGGTGATTAATGAAAAAAACGAACACACCCTAAGATAATGTTATTGTCACCTTGGACTCAAGGATGAAGTGATTCAATTTTGGTGGTCAAAAACTTGTGTTTTGCAACTGGTCCCAGATATTTTGGTGGCTTATGAATTAATGATGAAGTAATTTAAAGTTCATTAACTGAAGATCCATTAACTCCATATAAGGAGGGGAGCTCGGAGTAGAGCCGCTGCTCCTTCACATTGAAAGGGGTCAGTTGAGGTGTTTCGGGCATCTGACATCCTGGGCGCCTCCTGTTGGAGGTGGATGGCAACTTGATCATAGTGAGTGACCGGAATTTATGCATCAAATCATAATGACTCTTTAATTAATTCTATATTTTAAATGTGTGTGTGTGTCACCTTCATCATAAAGTGTTACCCAGATGTGCTACACTGATGAAGATCATTTAAGTTTCCATCATGTTAGTTTGAACATTAGTCACCAGTATTTGCTTGATAATGTGGTTACAGCTTAACGAATGCATTTGATCATGATTTAATTTATTTAAACTTCTTCTTTCCTCACACTTGTCATGAGACGGTGCAGCAGATTATGCGCATGAAGTGGGAGAGCGGACCGTGTTGAATGTGTTCCAGTCGAAGTGCTCTATATGCTGGGGACTATACGGGATGACCGAGTCGTTTCATGATGTCACGTGTCCGCAGCTCCATCCTGTGGTTCACTGTTGATAGTTTTCTGAGGGAGAAGCAGTCACTTTTCAACTGGGAGAAATTTTTTTTGTTATGAAATGTCAGATTGCATGCAGGGATGGATAAGCATGGGGCTGTTGCCATCTCAGTCCCTCACACACAGGTGTGACCATGTGCGCAGTAAATTGAGCTTAGGTGTTTGATGGTATGAGGATGCCGGGCCGAAACCAGCGTCTGCACCAAATACAGTGAATGGAACAAGGCCACTGTTATCAGTAGTTACTCTTAAAGGTGTTTCAGAATCTCCACAGACAAACCGTGACAAGCAGCTCAACTCTCTGGTTGTCATGACGTCTCACCATAGATTTTAAAAAAAGGGAAAAATCAACAATGTGTATATTATGTCTGTATGGAAACCTAAACGTTCAGATCCAAACGTGGGTGTTTGATGTCCGTTTGTATGCTTTTTGTGTGTCAATTCAGAGCGAGAGAATAAATTAATTTATATATTTTTTAGAAAATAAAAGCTGTACTATTATTACTAAAAAAAAAAGGACTGTGGCCAATAAAGAGTCTTACACAACAGAAATAATCTCAAAGTCAGACTCGAGTCGACATCTGCACTCACTGCCTTAAAACATTCACAGGTTCTGTTTCACAGCTCAGACCCGAGAAAAATCATAAAAAGGCTTTTCGAGGAGGGCGAGGAGAAGACGGTGTACAGTAGTAGTGGTAGTAGAGTTTGTACAAATATACCAAGTGAAAAAAAATATTTATTACCTGCATTGGAAGAAATTGTTTACTTATTGAATGTTACCTGTTTATGTAGAAAAGTTTAGATGTAATAAAATGCATTCTGTTAGTTCTCTGTGTGTTTTCCTTTGTTTTAAAACATCATCTCTTCTTATGCCTCCAGGCCGGTGAAAGCCGGAGTCAGTGTGTTTTCGGTTTGTCCATCAGGTCGTCCCAGTCACGTGAATGAAATATCCTGAGGAATTTTCTATGAATTTGGCACAAACTTCCACTTGGACTTAAGGATGAACTGATTAGAATATGGTGGTCAGAGGTCAAGGTCTCATTCTGGTGAACACAATATCCCAAGTATGCTTTGAGGAGTTTTCTTCAAATTTGGCGCAAACATCCACAATGATGAACTGATTTGATTTTAGTGTTTAAAGGTTAATGTCATTGTGACCTTGCATCTGTCTCATTCTCAAATTGAATTTCCCCTCAGGGGGATTAATAAAAGTATATACAGTTTTTAAAAACTTAAATTAAAAATTCTTGTGAGCGCAATATCCCAAGAAAGCTTTGAGCGAAGGAATTCACTGTGACCTTACGTCCATCTCATTCTCATTAATGCAATATCTCAAGAAGGCCCTGGAGGAGTTTTCCTAAATTTGGCACAAACGTTCACTCAGACTCAAGGATGAACTGATAAGATTTTGGTGGCCAAATGTCAAGATGACTGCAATCTGGAAATCCATCTGTTAAAAAAAAACAAAAACTTTTTTCTTTTCTTCCTACAATGTAAATTGCAGAATCTGTCTTGAGAGATTAAGATGACTGTGACCTTGCATCTGTCTTATTCTTGAGAATACAATGTCCTGAGAAAGCTTCAAAGGATTTTCGTCAAATTTTGCACAAATGTCCACTTGGACTTGAGGATGAACTGATTAGAATTTGGCCGTCAAAGGTCACTTTGATGTTGCATCTGTCTCATTCTCGTGAGCGCAATATCTCAAGAACCCCTTGAGGGATTTTCTTAAGCACAAACGTCCACTTGGACTCAGTGATGACCTGATTAGATTTTGGTGTTGAAAGGTCAAAAGTCCCTGTAACCTTGCATCCATCTCATTCCTGTGAACGCAATATCACAAGAACCCTTTGAGGTAATTTCTTCTAATTTGGCACAAACATTCACTCTGACTCAAGGATGAACTGACTAGAATTTGGTGGTCAAAGGTCACTGTGACCTCACAAAACAAGTTTTTGGCCATAACTCAAGAATTCATATGCTACTTATGACAAATTTCACACAAATGTCAAGGACAGACGTGTAATATCTATAACGTATAGAATAAAATGAAGAAGACATTACATTTTATATCAAACAGGTCAAAGATCAGCTTCACTGTGACATCATAATATTCTGCAAAAACACTTCTCTGGTCATTACTAACACTTTCATTCAGGAACAGAAGGGGAGACATTTGGTTAATACTGAAGTGTGACACTAATCTTGGGTGTCCATCTTGAAACTGCAATAACTAAAGACCTTTTGTGCTGCCGGGTCGAAGACGTGTGTAAAGCAGCCATGTTTTAGAATGTGTAGCGTGACTTGTAGTTTTTTATTCAACTTTATTGAATAATTATAATAATAATACATTTTATTTAAAAGGCGCCTTTCAAAACACCCAAGGTCACTTTACAGAGTATAAAAAATACATACAGAACAATAGTCAGTGAATCTTGACACTGACACCACCACAAAGGCAAGGGGAGAGACATGTACAGGATCGTTTTAAAACAGAATAGCCTTTGAAAATAATCTCAATGTGTCTTGCAGTGTCTCACTGTCATCCCTTGTTGCCACCTGTGAGTTAACTAGGTTCACAGGAGCAGAATGGTGGTGGAGACCAGACAGCCTGCCTTGGGAGGAGAATAAACTTCAATGGACTCGTGCTTTTGGTGATTCCTTGACTGTGTGTGTGTGTGTGTGTGTGTGTGTGTGTGTGTGTGTGTGGAGGACCAGAAAGGAAGTGAGCCAACTACCAAGTAGGACCGGATTGTTTTTTTTTTTTTTTTTAATTCCACCTCAGTGAGTTTGAGTCCTCTTTTTTTGCAACACATTACTTTTTCCTAGTGCCTGTTTTTTCATTTTAATTAATTTAGTGGACATGGGCGTTTCTGTCTCACTGGGATTACCTTGAGCTGGACAAAGAGAACTATTATTAAAGGGGACGTTCCTCTGATTACCTTTTTTTTCTTTTTTTTCCTCCTGTATTTTCATTTGGGGAGGGGAACAATATATAAATAAATCATGTTTGAGTCCATTTAAGTTTTCTTGATTACGTTCTGCAGCTGGTGTCAGTAGGGAGCCAGGGTCAGACCCCGTATTTTGTCTACCCCCACTAACCAAGATTAAATAATAACTGTAGCTTTTGAAAATAACTCATTACTAGGCTTTAAAGGTAAGCTGATTGTTATAACACTGTTGTATTAGAAGTGTAGAAATTGTGCAAAATCTTATAAGGAAACTCTCTTGTTATGAAAATCATCTCTTTTTTAGGAAGATGTTGCTGTAGTAACATTTTAACACCCTGCTACACCACAAGTGAACACTAGATGGCAGCAGAGTCGTTTCATCAACTTCCCCCTCTTTGTGGTGTTTCCAGCCCAGCCTGCAGATATTTCAAATTACCATTACGCACGGTTTGCCCCCTCCAGTCTGTGCCCTACTGGCTTTGGTACGTGCTACACATAACATGAGCATCTGAAATTATTAATTAGATGTTTGTGTTTTAATTAAAAGTGATGGGGAAGCCTCGCGCTCCGATGAGCCTCCATTACGCACAAGACTGATGGACACATCACACCTAATGCTCGCCAGTAAACACCTCCACCCCGCCACTCCTGTCATGTTGTCAGAGATGAGAGCAGTGGTGTTGGATGATCGTGCGTCTTGGAGCGGAGAGGCGGAGAAATGACAGGACAGGAGGGTGGGGATGGATACAGGCGGAGGAGCTGGCATCTTGTGATAATGTGGCACTCCAAGATTCAGCTCTATTTGGACATTAATGTTTTTATGTATCTTAAATGAAGACCATTCACTGGCTACATTATCTTGAAGTGTGAGTTGCTGACATCATGGATAAAGAGAATGAGAGCGTGTGTTTGAACAGGTCACTGTTGGAGGTGGACTTCTTCAGCAAGCTGGAGGACATCGACGTGACGGCTGACGGGAGCCCGGGTCTGAGGTTCCTCATCTGCCTCGTTTATTCTGTTGTGTGCGCTGCGGGTCTGATAGGCAACCTGCTGGTGCTCTTCTTCATCAGGGTCAAACAAGAGAGGAAGAGGTCCACGGTGAACTTCTTCGTGTTCAACTTGGCAGTGACGGACTTGCAGTTCGTGCTCACTCTGCCCTTCTGGGCCGTGGACACCGCGCTGGACTTCAGCTGGCCATTTGGAGACGCCATGTGCAAAATCATCCTCTCCGTCACCGTGATGAACATGTACGCCAGTGTGTTTTTCCTCACTGCCATGAGTGTGACCCGCTACTGGTCGGTCGCCTCGGCTCTGAAGAACACCACTGCGCTGAAGTCATGTTCCGCCAAGTGGACCTGCGCAATCATTTGGACACTGGCGACTGTGGCGACTGCGCCGACTTCGATTTTCTCAACTGTCAGTAACGTAACCGGAGAGAAACTCTGTTTGTTGAGGTTTCCCGGGGGACAATACTGGTTAGCAGTTTATCACATACAGAAAATACTCGTAGGGTTTGTGTTGCCGATGTCCATCGTGTCCATCAGCTACATAATGCTGCTGCGTTTTGTCCGCAACCGGAGTATGAAAACAAGCAACCCCAAACGGATATCCCAAGTTACAAAATCTATCACCATCGTCGTGTTGTCTTTCTTTCTGTGCTGGATGCCGAACCACGCCATCACCTTTTGGAGTGTACTGGTCAAACTGAACGCTGCGCACTGGGACAAAGCCTACTACATAGTCCATACATATGTGTTCCCACTGACGGTGTGTCTGGCTCACACCAACAGCTGCCTGAACCCGATTATTTACTGCCTCATGAGGAAGGAGTTCAGGAACAAGCTGAGAAGTCTGATTCACAGGGGATAATGTTTTGGGGCTTTGGGAATGATTTCATGTGTTGACAAACAGTGCCCGTGACGCACCGAGTGCGCACGGCGAAAAAGGCACGGGGTGAGAGAGGAGACCTGTCAGAAAGCTCAATGACGACAAACAGCATCATGTCAAGACTATTTACTCCGCTCTGTTGAGAAAAAATATAACTTTCATCAGCGCTTCTTGTCTGTAAAGGCTTGCGTAATGTGGCTTAGTTCTGTTGGCTTTTGGCTTTATGCAAACCAATTCCTAATTTTGTGTAAAAAAAAATGTGTTACACGTATGATCACTGTGGCCTTGCTTGTTCAATATCCATTAGTAGTGACGTGTCCCTGGTCTACTGCTGGAGTGACTGCGTGCGTAATTGCGCATGATAAATAACCATGCATTAATGTGCTTGCGTTATAGCTGTAGGCAAACGGTTAGGAAGCTGAGCGCTTTCTACATCTATCTGTGAATGTATTTGCAAATAATGTAACCAGTGTGTCAGTCATGGATGCAAACATCACCTCCTGGAACAAAGGAGGGAAAGCAACGAGTCGTTTTTTTAAGTTACAGCGTGCCAAAATCATTTGTTTGAGCACAAAAAAACAACAAAATGTGTGACATGATTCTTGTAAATTAAAAAAAAATGTATCTAGTATGATTTGTAAATAAAGATGTATTCAAGCTGTCACATTGGTTAGTTTTCCTTAGATATCATCGGCCTATTCGAGTCGAGTTGTAACAGGTGGAAACAGTTGCTAACGGTGCAGGTAAAAAACACAGAGCAGAAGTGTGTCGCTGACCTGCACATTGAAGCTAATGGGTTAAACCATCATCAACATACAAAGCGCGCTGATGAAATAGACTTAATGGCTTTTTGTGCTCATCACCGGGAGTTCTCCAACATCACTCATCAGAGAAAAATGGCTCCGCGCACGAGCACTACATGAGCCGCGTGCACAAAGGCCATTCTGAATGGGTTTAAGAGCTGCAGCCCACGCGCACACACAGCTGGGTGTCAGTGTGAACATTAAAAAGCAGCAGGCTCTCTCTGGGCGCTGGCTGCAGCATTGGATTGAAGTGACTGTAAAATATTGCATTGAATTAGACAGAAAGGGATTTATTTATCAGAATCAGAGTCAGAATCAGAAATACTTTATTGATCCCCGGGGGGAAATTATTTGCGTTGCAGGTGCTCCTTGCAAGAGTGGAAAGATAAGTGAAAATATAAGAAATTTAACAAGAGTATGTAGTTCAAATAAACTGGATTATTAACAAAAAATAAAAGTTATATATATATTGTAACCTAAACAAGATTATTTACACAATATATAGAGTATAAATAGATAATACACATAATATATATACAGTCAAGGTGAAATGGGGTTATTGCACAAGTTAAATTAAATTATTGCACATGTTGACAGTGGGTGAAATAGTCTCAGGGCCACTCAGAGGGAGGAGTTGTACAGTTTGATGGCCACAGGCAGGAATGATTTCCTGTGGCGCTCAGTGGTACATCTTGGTGGTATGAGTCTCCCACTAAAAGTACTCTTGTGTCTGACCAGCACCTGGTGGAGTGGGTGTGAGACATTGTCCAAGATCGTTCGTAGCTTAGACAGCATCCTCCTCTCTGACACCACCATCAGAGAGTCACACTCCGTTCCCACAACGTCACTGGCCTTGCGCATCAGTTTGTTGAGTCTGTTAGTGTCCGCCACCCTCAGCCTGCTGCCCCAGCACACAACAGCATAGAGGATAGCACTGGCCACCACAGACTCATAGAAAATCCTGAGCATAGGAGGACCTCAGTCGCCTCAGAAAGAGGTATAGTTTGTTTACAGGAGCATGTAAAGGAACAATCAGTCTGTTTTGGTATTTCTTTACCAATGATTATTTTTGATCAAGTTTGCACTGACGTAATAGTTTTTAAGGCAGGAAGTGGACAACAAATGTGCAAATTTCGTCTTTTTATTTATTTATTAATTTATTTATTGTTTATATATGATTTTTTTTTTAATCTAATTTTTATTTTATCAGTGATAATGCTCTCCACAGAGCAACAGATTCGAACTCCAACCTCCTCACATATTGATGTTTGGTCATGGACTTTCCACATCCAGATACAACATGCAAGGTACCCTGGGTGCATTGGTTGTTGACGTACTGAGAGGCCTTGTCAAGTTCTGCCTGTTACATGCATTGTCTTCTTTCAACATACACTTCTGTTTTCACAGGAAATTTAATGCAGTCTCTTTCAAAATAAATGCACTAAGTCGGTACGACACTGCAAAGACACTAAAGGATAGCTTTATTCATCGGTGTCTGACGCCAGATGTCACTGCCCAAGTGCTGGATTTCGACGACTTCAGAGTGAGCCTGGGTTGCATGGAGAGAGTGGGTCCTTCAGTGATGTGTTGGATGAAGAATGGGCCCTTATGAGTGATTGCCACGTTGGAAATACTGTATATCTGTGTTCAAAGAAAACTCTCATTAAATTAAAAACAGTACCCCTTTTTTGCCTTTCGTATTTTTTGTTATATCATCCAATGTCAACTCTCTGATCATGTGACAACCTAACTGTAACCTGAACCTTAAAACTTTGTCTCAACCCTCCAACAAACAGGCCTCTGTAGACGTGAAGACTGATCAGAGTGTCCTCACCTTCCAAAAATGTCCTCACTCATAATATACTTTACTTTTATCGCTCCTTTCATACAAGCAATGCAGCACAAAGTGCTTTACAATAAGGTCATCATAAGCACTGAGTGCTTCACATAAAAATAGACATGATGAACATAAAAGACGAACAAGTTAATTTGATACAAAAGGACATGGAAAAACAATACATTCAACAATTTTCATTAAAAGTACACACACACACACACACATTTATCATGATATAAACTATACATGGGCTATATCATATCCATGACTGTATTCATTTGAAAAGAACAAGTTTGTTTTTATCCTCACTGGTGCAGTATTTGCTTAGAGGATGCTGATGGAGAAGTACAGTCAGAGGGAACTGCAATGTGTTTTATAGATCTATTGAAAGCATATGACAGGGTGCCGAGAGAGGAGCTGTGGTATTGTATGAGGACGTCTGGGATGGTAGAGAAGTATGTTAGAGCGGTGCAGGACATGTATGAGAGCTGTCGGACAGGGGTGAGGTGTGCTGTAGGTGGAAGTGGGAGTGCATCAAGGATCAGCTCTGAGCCCCATCTTGTTTGCTATGGTGATTGACAGGTTGACAGATGAGGTTAGACGGGAATCTCCATGGACTATGATGTTTGCAGATGACATTGTGATCTGTAGTGAGAGCAGGGAGCGGGTGGAGGAAAGGTATGCCCTGGAAAGGAGAGGAATGAAAGTTAGTCATAGCAAGACAGAATACGTGTGTGTGAATGAGAAGGACCCAAGTGGAACGGTGAGGTTACAGCAGGAAGTAGAAAAAAAGAAGGTGGAGGATTTTAAGTACTTCGGGTCAACAGTCCAGAGCAACAGAGAGTGTGTAAAAGAGGTGAAGAAACAAACAGGTGGAGAAGTGTCAGGTGTGATGTCTGATAGAAGAGCAGAGATGAAGATGTTGAGGTTCTCTTTGGGAGTGACGAGGATGGATAGGATTCCTCTTCTTCTTCTTTTTTCTTTTTCTTTTAATTCTTTTTCTTCTTTTTCTTTTTCTTCTTTTTCTCTTTTTCTCCTTCTCTCTTCTCTCTTCTTTCTTCTCCTCCTGTAAGAACTATTCTGAGGTGCTTTACCTGTCCTACTTTTTCTATCTGAGTAATATTATTTTCTGCTATTTATATTTATGCTCCGCTACATTTCAGAGGGAAATATCTTACTTCACTAGATTCATTTGAAAGCCGACCCCACTACTCACATTTCACAATGAACAATATATGAAATGCATTTTAGGGTCACATAACAAGCCATGAAGTATCTCAGAGAGCACTGAAAGTACATTTAATCAAGTACTTGAGCTCAGTTCTTAGGTGCTCTAGAGTTTATCATTTCTACTTCTCTATACTTCTACTGGCACTTGTGTTCCCTTGGTAATGAGCTGATTGGCTCCTACCTGCCCGTGTTATGTGGGGAGAGGTATAAGTGAGACACGAGAGAGTGAGTGCCTCTGCTTAAGAGTGAGGAGAAGGTGCTGTACCCCTAAGCTGGGATGTGTTAGTACTGTCTTGCCGTGTTGGTAAAAAATTAAATGAAGAGGAAGAAATAAATGTTGTAGCCCACTTATTACCCACAGCCCGGAAGAACTGGGGGAACATTAACGGTCAAGAAAAGAGGGATACAAAGTTAAAGAAGTTGATAACAAATGGCAAAGTGAATAAATCCCAAGAAACGAGAAAAAGAGGTTAAATTAGGGCCCAAACTCAAAGATCAACTAAGCATTAAAGAAACTAAAGCTTCAGTCTAAGGGGCGGCACGGTAATGTGGTGGTTAGCACTGTCGCCTCACAGCAAGAGGGTTCCCGGTTCGATCCCAGGTGTGGGAACCCTGCTGTGCGGAGTTTGCATGTTCTCACTGTGTCAGTGTGGGTTCTCTCCAGGTACTCCAGCTTCCTCCCACAGTCCAAAGACATGCAGATTAATTGATAACTCTAAATTGGCCGTAGGTGTGAATGTGAATGTGAATGTGAATGGTTGTCTGTCTCTATGTGTCAGCCCTGCGATAGTCTGGTGACCTGTCCAGGGTGTACCCTGCCTATCACCCAATGTCAGCTGGGATAGGCTCCAGCCCCCCCACGACCCTCAAGAGGATGAAGCGGTTAGAAGATGGATGGATGGAAGCTTCAGTCTAACGCAATATCTCTGTATTTTTTTACTGTGCAGTCAGAAAGGCTTGAAGGGGGCTGAAAAGGAGTCATTAATGGAGATGCAATAAAACATTTTTGCAGGTTTTTAGGAGATATTAATTAAAGGGTCGTGGGTTTCTCACAAACTTTGTTTGACATAAACCCCTTGGAGGTATTTGGTCTACCTCCCTTGAGTCTTTCTGACATTTCATAATGAGTCTTTGCCTTTTCTCATGCAGTCCCTCATGATTAATCTCTATGGGATCATTTCAGAAAGTGTATTATTTTCCATTTTAACTAAAAAGCAGCCAGTATTTGAAGGGTTGAAAAGATGTTTATTCGTCTTGGAAGGGGGATTAACTATGACGCTGTAGTCTGTCTGCTGCAGTTGATGGGACTCGGTGGGCTTGACTGTTGTCCATAGCAGGAGATTGAACCTGTATCTCCTAGCTGATGCTGTTATCCTCATTCTCACCACACATCTTGGCCTTACAACGGTAAATCATGTGAGAAGGTGAACATCATATTAGTGTTTGGATCTTAAAGTGGATTTAATGGTGCAGAGACTCTCAACCAGTTTCAGACTTCACATGGTGTCCACTGTACCACTCTAAGTTTTCCAAAATTGGTCGTCTGTCAGTGCTATTAAAAATGCAACACAGAAATATTTCAAACATCAAATTCACATGACAGTGTGACAACTCACTAAATTCAGAGTCTGTGAGAAATTTATGACCTAAGAAATATGGTCACAGGCCAGAAAAAGCTCAAACACACTGATGCAGTGACTCCACAAAAATGTCCTCTTCACTTCAGTTCGTTGCCCGACAACAAGCTAGAAGCGGATTTTTTGGAAATATTTGGAAGTCTGTGTTCTCACAGTCATACACGACCTCATATTGAAACCCTATTTTTCTTTGCTGAGACAGATCAAGGGTCGTGATTCATGCGTGGGCTGGTTTCTCATATCAGAAGTGTCACTAATTAGCAGCTATTAGTAAGAAGATTCATGATGAAACAGGCTGTTACTTTCTGCAGGGCCTAATGATTCAACACCAATATTGGGTGAACGCTCCACCCAACCTCTTAGCACATTTCACATGGATTTGTCTCAGTGGAATCACATTAACCAGAGAAAATTTAAAGGTGATAATATGTCAAGGCTGCATGCAGTGGTGTTGTAATAGGTGGGAAGATGGGTAGGTTACCAAGGAGGAAGTGGGTTTACTCTCCTATATATTCCAATGGCTTTTTGGCTGATAAGCGGATATACTGTAAATGGCCAGAAAAGGAGATGGGTGTATCCCATGTACCTGCATATATCCTCCATTACCCCACTGTCTGCATGTTTAACAGCATGTCATCGACTCTGGCTAAAATAGGGCAAACAGGTCGGTGGATGATGCAGTCAACCTGGGACTGCACTACATCCTGCACCACCTCGACTCCCCAGGGACTTACGCAAGGATCCTGTTTGTGGACTTCAGCTCAGCTTTCAACACCATCATCCCTGAAATACTCCACAAGAAGCTCATCTAGCTCACAGTGACTGCCTCCACCTGTCAGTGGATTACCAGCTTCTTGACTGACAGGAGCCAGTGTGTGAGGCTGGGGAGCATCACATTCAGCTCCCAGTCCATCAGCACTGGCGCCCCCCAGGGGTGTGTCCTCTCCCCACTGCTCTTCTCCTTGTATACCAACGACTGCACCTCAGGTAACCCTTCTGTGAAACTCCTGAAATTTGCGGACGACACCACAGTCATCTGTCTAATCCGTGACTGTGATGAGTCTGTATACAGACAGGAGGTGGAGCAGCTGGTCCTATGGTGCGGTCAGAACCACCTGGAGCTGAACCTGCTCAAGACTGTGGAGATGACAGTGGACTTCAGCAGAAGCCCCCCGACACTACCCCGCCTCACCACAGGTCAAAGGTCAGGAAACGGGCAGGAAACATCACTGTAGACCCCTCACACGCCGGACACAATCTGTTTAAACTCCTCCCCTCCGGTAGGTGCTACAGAGCACCGTTTGTCAAAACCACCTGTCTCAAAGACAGTTTCTTCCCCCAGGCTGTTGCTCTGATGAACTCCTAAACAGTCACAGAGTGGCAGGTCAAACAACACTGCATCCTTGTATATTGTATATATTAAAAAAAAATTACAAATCAGATACAGATAGTTTTGTTCTTAAGCAGCTTATTGACAATATCTTACACAATGTTCAATACCTTCCAAAGAGCTGTATTTTGGTCAGGGTGGAAAAGCAGCATTTGACATGAAGTAGGATACTCACTGCTCCTGAAACCTGGCACCTCTTTGCCTTCAGAAGTGCATCAGTATTAGGTGTGCAAAGTCATCCAGTGAGCCGAACTGGACTCTTTGAAGAGCCAGCCCTGGCCCCCGGGGTGTATGTTTGATGCCCCTGCACCAGACCTTTAAGTCTCAGGCTCCCTCTACCAATGCAACATCAAATAAATAAAACAAAAAAGAGGAGCACACAAGTAAAACAAATGAGAATTGAAACACAGTTTAAGTTAAAATAAAGTATAAAATATGACATAAATAAAACATTAGATAAAGTAATTCACACTGTAATTGTCAGTCAATGAAGTGAAAGTAAACGGGAATGCAGTATATGCATGAGCAGAGGTATAATCATATACAACGGTGTAGAAAATTATAAAACAATAAGCAGCCTACTGTTAAATGGTAAAGTAAGTGAAATTATTTTTTAAATATTAAATGTAATTGAGTAAATTTAAAGTAAAAAAACAATAACGTTAATATTAAGGTTTGAAGTTAGAATAAAAAAATAGACTTTTTTATTTTTTATCTATTCATTTATCTATTTATTGGCATTTTGGAAAATACACATTGTGCTGGAAATACTACCAGCCTGCGAGATCTTTGGTTCGATCGTCATTTTTCCGAGATTCAGGAGGAGCACCATGAACGCCCCACGGTGTGGTCATGTGACCCAGCAGCAGGCGGGCCATTCTCAGCTTCTCCTTCGCTCTTTGGCACCAATGTCGGAGGTGTTTGTGCCTGGAAGAAATGGACTCTGGCAATGCACGAATTTGATCATTCAGAGATCCGATCAGCTGAGTCTGTGAATGGCGCCAAAACAGGACCCTAAACCTAAATTTCAAGAAGGTGGGTGCTGAGAAATAACGCTGATGTTACAACGGCTGGAAGGGGGCGGGTTTGTTGTTGTTGATGCTGCTGCTGTAGCTCGACAGTAGTGGTCTCCAGGGAAAGAGAACAGAGCTCCAGAGCCTTTATTTGTGTCCATATTTGTGGGGATTTAATTTCAAACACGCCCAAATTTGATTCACATTAAAGCTATTCACCTTAAAATAAAGTTAAATGTGTAAAACAGACGTTAATGCAATGCTAACAGCTAGCTCGCTTGTTATTTATGCTATGCACGAGCTAAACCCTTTCAGTCACTGACACACAAAAGAGCCTCTGAAACCATGCCAGTCTAAGTTATATTAGTTCAAATTCTATCTGAGGACCTTCACAGTAGTTTAAGGAGTTATTACACTTGAATGTATTGTAATTATTTTGTTCTTAGCTCTTGTAGTCCTTTCATTTGTTTCCTCTCTTCGCAGGTGAAAGAGTCCTGTGCTTTCATGGGCCACTGCTCTATGAGGCAAAGGTTTGTTTCCATACTATATGTGTTGTTATGAATTGATTATTAAGTGCAAGACAAATGTCAGCCAACGTATTGACGCAGAGCTGTGTGTGTTTTCTTGTTTTCACAGTGTGTAAAGATCAACATAAAGGACAAACAGATTAAATACTTCATTCATTACAGCGGATGGAACAAAAAGTGAGAAGCTTGGTTTATTACTGTTTCATTGTTTGGCTGTATCTCTCTCTGATCCCCTGCTGTGAGTTAAACCAGTGAGAACTTTTCTTATTTTTTCCTTTGTGATGGTTTGAGATGTTTTTTCTGTTGCAGCTGGGATGAATGGGTTCCTGAAAGCAGAGTTCTCAAATATGTGGACAGCAACCTTGCGAAACAAAAAGAGCTTCAAAAGGCCAATCAGTAAGTTTCCCTTTCCGTGCACAGAAGGTAGAGATGAAGAATTTATTGTTATTGTTATTATTTTTTTGTGAGACACTTGTTTATGTGTAAAAAAACAAAAAAAAAAACAACAACCAAAAAACACACAAATACCTCCCTGATGTTGAATATTTTGTCATTTTTCTCCCAAACTGCTTCAACATTTACAAAAGAGAGCAAGACAGTTTGCAGTCAGTGTTGGGAAGATTACTTTTGAAATGTAATAGGTTACAAATTACTAGTTACCCTGTTAAAAATATAAGTAATGCAACCATTTTAATTACTTCATTGAAGTAATGTAACTTATTACATTTGATTACGTTTCTAACAAATGATTTAATCTGGGCAATTGAGCTGTAAAATGTCCAGAAATAGGCGATGCTAGAAAAAAGCATCCCTGCACATCGAAAAAAAATGCAAAACAACAGAATGTATGTTTTATCCTACACGTAGATTGTAAAAATAATGACATCACCCATTGGTTTGTGGACTCTTGTGCAAAGCCTTGAGTTTGGTATTTTGGTCATCACTGTCTTGGTTTTTTGGAGCCAGAAGTGACCGTATTTGGGTGAGAGGCTGGAGCTTAAAGCAGCCCTGCCCTTCACTGTGTGTAACGTTAAGCCTTAAAATGTAAATGGGTGAGTTAGATAGAAATCCACCCCCGTACAGTTGTCGTGAATGCTGAAATTAGCTATAGAGACCAAAACCATTTTTATACCAGGCTGTGAACATGTTTATTTATACAGAGCCCTACACGGGCTAGGACCGAGCTACATTGCTAACTCCCTTGTTAACTATTTGCCTCCATGACCACTGTGATCATCTGCTGCTGGTTTATTGGAGGTTCCCAGCAACGGCTGGAAGAAGATCAGGGATGCGGCCTTTGTCAGTGACGCCCCAAAGCTATGGAACACACTACCTATAGATATCAGGGAAGCTAGCTCGCTAAATATTTTTAAAAGAAAGCTAAAAACATATCTGTTAAATTTAGCCTTTAACAAGCTCTGACTTTCCAGATACAGGTCTAAAACTCTTTCTTTTTATGCTTTTACTTTCTATTTATGCTTCACGCTGCTGCAACTCTTTTAAAATTTTACTTGATTTTATTATTTATAGTTTTACAACTCTGTGACTTAATGAATCAGTTCTGTTTCATGTTCATTCTGTCTGTTTTCACGTGAAGCACTCAGTGCTTATACTGCCCTTATCGTAAAGCTTTTTGTGCTGCGTTTCTTGTATGAATGGTGCTATATAAATAAAGTTTATTATTACTATTTATCATTATTTCGGCTGTAAAATTGGACATTTTAACATGGGGGTCGATGAGGATTGACTCGCTTCTGGAGCCAGCCTCAAGTGGCCATATAAAGAACTGCAGATGTTGGCACTTCATGTTGACTTGCTGCTTGACTCTACATATAACCTTTTTACCGAAAATGGTATATTTGGATGTAACCCCTTTGTAATCACCAACATTTTGATTAGTAACTGGAATTTAATTACTTTTTTTTTTTTCAGTAACTGTAACTCATTACAATTCCATTTATTTTGTACTTCATTAACATTCGACTACTTACATGTAGTTATTCCCCAACACTGTTTGCGCTTAACTGAATTTATAATTTAATTTTAACCGGATTTATTTTAATGAACTTTAATCATTTTTTTCCTTCCCAGGGACCATTATGTTGAGGGAAAGATGAGGGGTTTAGCACCAAGCAAGAAGATTGCTGCTGTGCAGCAGAAAAATGTTGATCTGTAAGTATCCGCCTCATTTTACCAACTCTGTTAATTCAATATATTTTAAACACGTCATATAAGTAGACATAATGTTGAATGGAATAAAGTTGTATGTATGAACTGAATGTAGTCATGATGCAGTTTGGACCACACAGGGTACTTGTGTAATGTGATATTGTTACTTAAGATGTTTCTTTTTTTCTTTTTGTTTTGCATCTTAGGAAAGTGAAAAAGGCAAAGCAGAAGAGTAAGTAAATGTTTCCACACAACATGTTAGTGGCAGCTTTAACTCAAGTAAATATTTTTATTTTATTTAAATATTTTTAAAAATTAAAACTCAATTCTAACATCAGGTATTTGTCTTAAAGGATAGTTTTTGGGTCATCAGAATGAGACCGTAACATTTGAATATTACAACAAAATGTTCCTGTATCTAAGATATTAGGTGTTTATGCTTTACAGTCAGCATTGTGAGTGTTTTCACATATCCTGGCAGTGTGGATCAGAAGCTTCTCTCCAACAGTACATGAAATGCATTTTCAGATTAGCCACTTTTCAAATTTAGCTCCTTATCAAACATGTGCTTCACGGTGTAAGGTGATTTGGAGGCACGCTGAACCTGTGAAAATCACCATGGAGAAAAGACATTAACAGTTCCTGTAGCTGTAGATAAAAATGGACTGAAGTGCTGCTTTATTTACATGTCCTACAAACTACATAACAACTTGTTGTTTACCTGCTGATCCATTATGCCTAAAAGCACCGTCTTATTTTTTGAACTTGTTATGGATCTGTTCAGTACAAGAAGAGGCTTTGACCTTGATAACTTTTTCAGACTTTTTTTTTCATGAAACCCTCATTTCTTCATAATTCATAAGCTGTGATGGGTGTCTCGTTTAGCCCCGGGGCCGGGTGAAGGCACCAGCAGCGGAGAAACGCCGCAGGGACCACGGAAGAAGAGGGCTCGGGTTGATCCCACTGTGGAGAGTGTATGTATCATCAGTTATTTGGAACCCTGTGGACACACATGCAAACATACCCACCTAATTTTACAGCTTGATCAGATCATAGCATGGCATTTTGTTTGTGTGTAAAGCAGAGAAAAGAATTAACTGTTTTTTATCTCAGGGCATATTTTTAATCATAAATTGAAACCATGACTGATTATTTGACTCCAAAAACGCAGAGTGGGAAAATATTGGGATGTCAGCCTAAAAATGCCTGTTTAAAATTGAAATTTAAAGGGATAGTGCATCCCATAATCAAAAATACACACTTTTCCCTCTTACCTGTAGTGCTATTTATTGATCTAGATGGTTTTGGTGTGAGTTGCTGAGTGTTGGAAAATTGAGCCATAGAGATGTCTGCCTTCTCTTCAGTATAACAGAAATAAATGGCGCTCAGCTTGTGGTGCTCAAAGCACCAAAAAAAATACATTTGAAAAACTCAACAGCAATGTCTCTTTCCAGAAATCATGACCTGGTTACTCAAGATAATCCACAGACCTTGTTGTGAGCAGTTTCATGGAGGGTCTATTTATTTCTACAGAACAACACCCATCAACCGTATCACAGCACAGGAGGAAGTGTGCATCTACTGCCAGCTCGCCTAGCACCACTGATGACTAACGTTACAGCTCAGCCCAGGAGGAAGCCTTAAATGTTTACATCTCGGGGTGTCACAAGCATGGACCTCTAACGCATGAGTAGATGCACTTCTCCTTTTGCTCGGTGATGTGGTTGGTGGATGTAGTTCAGTAGAAAGAAAATAGTTCCTACATGTAACTGCTTGCAACAAGATCTGTGGATTATCTTGAGAAACCGGGTGTGTTCTATCTGAACTGTCCCTTTAACATATCACCTTGAGATCAGATATTCAAAGAGTCTATTTTCTGCTACTTTACTAGTGGTTTCCAGCTGTGGAGGTAGTTTTGGCTTTATTTGCCCACTGCTGTCGAGGCTTTCAGATGTATTTTTTGGAGCTTTGAGCACCACAAGCTTAGTGCCAACTAGTTCCAATACATTCAAGAGAATGCAGACATCTCTATAGCCTACACCTCCAACACTCAGCAACTCACATCAAAACAATCTAGATTTATGAATAGCACTACAGGTAAGAAAAAACATATGTGTTTTTGATTTGTCAGTGAACTGTCCCTTAAAGGCAACTGAGAGATGCTGAACAGCTGTAGTTTACTCAATTTTACATTGAGTAAACTACAGCTGAAACGATTCCTCAAGTAACTCGAATAATTCGATTACTAAAAAGCCTCAAGGCTTCGTTAAATCCAGAACAACTACCCAGCTCACTGTTTAACATGGATATTTATTTCTGTTGGACAACCTATAGAGATATGAATTAATCATCAAAAATCTGTCTGACGTTTTATAATGAAGAATGAAATATCACTGTGAGGATAGTTTGCGGGTAGACCTACAGTACGTGTGATGAATTAGTGGCATGGGCGCTATTAACAGCCATAGCCGTGCGTAATGGTCACCCGTGGTGGCAGCTGTTCTGTTGGAGAACCAGGCTGGTGCGAGACGGTAAAACTGCACTTCTTCTCTGCTGTATTTTTAATCGACAGGTCTAATGAATGGTGGAGCGGGCACAGAAATCAACTGACTGAAGGGTGTTTCTGCATCAGTTTATGTCTGGGTAATTTATGACAAAACTGCGTCCCATATTGAATCAGTAAGGGACTAGTCTGAGTGGGCGGAAGTTTGCTGCATAGATCAGCCTCTCATTGGGCAGAACGAGCCACCCGCTGAAGTCCCGCCCTACCACCTCCGGTTGTGTAGCAGTTTTCAACCGTTTTCAACACGTCCTTTACTAACTTTTGCGGTGTTTGATCTTGCGGGGATGTAGCCATTTTTCTGCCATGGTTCGCGTCCTGTAGGCGATATTTTTGTGGCCGTGTTACACCAAAACCTGTTTACCCCCGGCAATATTTTTGCAAGCGCACCATTGCTGTGGCACCGCCCAGAACGATTGTGATTGGTTGAAAGAAATACAAGCAGCCGGGGCGTTTTTTTCTCCAATCTCAAAGTGAGAGTCGGCCCAGCCAGACCTTTCTTTTCTTGAGAAAGGTCTGGTGAGCGAGACTAGTAAAGGACATTACATTTAGTTTTTAATGTGGGACGGTCCCGTATTATCCGGGGCGGATGACAACCCTATTGTCTACATGCCTGGGTGTGGTGCTGGCATCAGTCACATTACTTATCCTCAGTTTTACTATCCTTACTTTTATCCAGACATCTGCAGTCAGGTGCATGTCAGAGCTTTTCCTGGGAAAAAGATTTTGTAGCTTTTATGGACAGTACTGCACTACTCGGTCTGTTAATTAACTTCACCACTGAAAAGCCATTTGACTCAGAAAGTAGTGACATCACCACCACGCTACTGAGAATGTTGTTAAATTCGTAATGTCGCTGCTTGTAGTGAGCTGCTACCCAACACCGTTTATTTTGACAGCTTGAGAAATAGCAGCGTAGTGTGAGTGCGTATGAAATCAGTCATCTGCGTGACTTTTCTTATCTTCTCTTGTACATATTACTCTTGGCTTTAAATAAAGCTAAAGTAATTTAATGAAAACACAAGGTATTTCTTATCAGATTACTCAATTACTCCCAGAATAATCAATAGAATACTTGATTACTAAAAGAATCGATAGCTGCACCCCTAGAATCAACCCATGCCTGGCGCAGACAGATGAGGTGTTTCTTCTCCCCTAAATCCTCTTCCCAAAGAGTCTTCACAGAACTCGGAGAGGTTGAAGAAAAGGTTTGAATTTGATTGTAAATATATGAAATCATACCATTTATTTTCATTCTATCGGGCTCACAAAGTTGTTTAAGAGGTCAATTTTTTGTGCACGGAAGTGACCGCTGTCCTCTCTCTGGTGCACCCACAGGTCAGAGAAAGACTTAAGTTATTTTCAGAAAGCAAGAAATAGCAGGAAATGTTGCATGCAGACAGCAGAGGTAATTATGATGTGCAAACACACCAGGGTGCCAACAAAGGGTTAGTTATGTCACAGTACTTATGTCATTAAAGGCCTGAACATTTGAGGGTGGAGGCTCATTGCAGCCACGGAACATCATTATTCTCTCCTATAAGACCCGACGGCGGGTGTCCAACAGCAGGAGATGTTGGCATACTGGTATTTTATTTTTACCTCCACCAAGGACTTTTGTTTTCAGTTCGGCTTGTTTGTTTGTTTGTGAACAGGATTGTGGAAAAACTACTACCCGATTTTCATGAAAATTAGTGGACGGGTGAAGCACGAGTCAGGGAGGAACCCAATGAATTATGTTGCAGATAGGAATCACAGGACAGATAGACAAATTATTTTTTCATTTATTCCTACATCTTTCACTTTGCAGTTTGATATCTTCTTGTTTGTGTCTTTGTGAGACACAGAAGTATGAAGTGTGTACTACAGAACCTTGAAAGAGAATCATCTCTGCTCCCAGACACCCATAGAAATAATCACCAATGTGTGTCCAGGAGGAGATGTTCACCAACCGTGTGGAGGTGAAGGTGAAGATCCCTGAAGAGCTGAAACCCTGGCTAGTGGATGACTGGGACCTCATCACCCGACAGAAACAGGTGGAAAAATACACACAGACACAAAGTGTAACAAGTGCCTGTGGATTTATTTCAGCTATGATGACCTGTGGAGGTTAAAAAGTTGGCTTCACAGTAAAGAAAATGTCTGTATAACAAATTCACGTGGACATGCTGCTTTTTAAATCCAACTAAATTAATTGAATGATGGAAACACATTATTAACAACCATTTTTACACCTGGAAACTTGGATTTGGAATTAGGGCTGGGCGATATAGACAACAAATTTATCTCTGTATTTTCAGGCTGAATGGAGACACACAATATATATCCCGATATTTTCTCCTAAGTGAGCTACATTACATCAATTTCAAGCTGACCCACAGCTAAAGTCCCCTGTTATTTTTGCTGCATGTGTTTTTCCACAGCAGGGCAGGTATAAGAAGTTTACCTGTTGGAGGTGAGCTGTTTGCAGAGGTGCAGTAAGAGCCTGTTGTCTGCAGCTCTTCATCAACATCTCACTGTGGCTGATTCTGACTGTACTCTTCCTCCCTGCCATATTATTAGACTTGTCTTAATTGAAGAAAAGCCGCTAACAAAGTTCAGCTAATTGAGTGATAAACATATTTCATTTCCGATAGATTCTTCATAATAAAAGTCCCCTGTTATTTTTGCTTTGTAAAAACTTTTATTGTGAAGCAGCAAAATAAGGAAATGTTGAGTTTTTCGAGCAGCAACTTCACACAACTTCTAACATGGCTGGAAGCGAACATTAAACAGTAAAATAATAGCAGATATCTGAAGTAAAAACAGGATGCAGGAGAGAAACAAAACTCCAAACCACAGAGATTCAGTCAGAAGCTACAGACTAACTGAGAGCTGAACACACAGAGACTTTTAAAAACACATTTCTCTCTGGTCTCTGAGGTGAGGAGAGTGTTGCAACACACTTGACGCTTGTTTTAGGGGGAGAACGAAGGTCATTGGGTGTTGGCTGCGTTTGGCTAGATGTCACTGCTTTTCGACCCACTCCAGAAAAGGTCCATCTCTGACGCAGCTCGGCGTGGCACTGGACGTCTAGACTGGAAACGGAAATCTAGACCGATGTAGTACTGTAGACTAATTTACACACAGAGTGAGTGAGTGAGTGAGTGAGTGAGGCAGAGCTGTGCTGAGAGTGTGGGAGAGGAGAGCTGCACACTGGTATGTGTTATATAACGCAACTTGACCCTCTATCGATATAAACTGTGTTGTCTAAATGTATATCGTGCTTGAAAATGTATCGATACATCGTACATAGTTGTTATATAGCCCAGCCCTACTGGGAATGAACCAGGAGTGAATCACTGTGTCAAAACCAAAATCAGTCCTCAACTCTTTTCTCAGAATTTAGATTCCTTCTCTCATGTTTTTTTGGAGTCAGATCAGATCTCACAGTACAGTACACTTCAAAGTCATACCACATCGTAACACTGTGATAGGTTAAGATGTTGATTAAACACCAAAATTTGACATCACTGACCAGAATTTGTTATGAAAGTCTGCTGCAAAAGATGGAAGAGCAGCAAACTGAAGATCAAAGTTGCAGATGAAAGTCACGGGATGCACAAGCTGTGCAATGTAGCACTGACAGGAAATTGTTGGATACAATTATACCTGTTGTCGCCTTCAAAGTGAGGAATACGGTGATATTTTGTAACTCGCTAGCAGACTAAATGCATGTTTTCTGTTGCCTACAGTTATTTCATCTGCCTGCTAAGAAGAATGTTGAGACCGTCTTGGAGGACTATGCAAACTACAAGAAATCAAAAGGAAACTCGGACAATAAGTAAGAATCAATGCCCCCTTCAAATCATGTGACTGTAGAGACATGTCTGTACCCTGTTATAATCTGTTTGGCATCATACAGTGGTTTTTGCATTCTTGCCCATCACTGTCTTCCCTTCTATGGAATAAATGACAGGTTGTTTCCTGCATAATCTTATGTCCTTTACCCAGCATGGTGCCATTTATTCACAATATCTACTTTTACCTCAGCCGTGATTAAAGTGTAATTTCAGTATTTTTCAACCTGGACTCGACTTCCCCATGTTTTCTTGACTTGGTGGGTAATGGGAGCAACAATTTTTGAAATTGGTCCAGTATTGAGTGAGAACAATGCAGCCAACAGTAGCAAAACAGGCTGCAATGTAAACACTCAGGGCACATTCGCACCGCCAATTTATGTCCACTGGAAGTGCGTGATTTTGCTGCTGATGTGTTCACATTATTATTTTAAGTGTCTGACAACATAATGGAAAGGATCCCTACAGAAACATATTTGTTAAATATTAAAAGCCTTGAAAGCACCATCACAAAACCCACCAAGCTCCATTTAAATAAAGAGGTATTTTAACATCAGAAAACACACTTTATTCAAATTTGACCAAGAGAAAATGAAACTCACAAATAAAGTCTTTGTTTCTTCTTTTCACTGTTCCAACAATCACCAATTCTGGTACAGTTGAAATCAACCCTTAATTCACCCAGTTAGATGTGAAGACATGCTGGCTCTATACATGCTAAAATGATTATTCATTTAAGTGGGGTCTGGTTGGTTTGGATGTAGCGATTTTGGGGCTGTTTCTCATTAAACAGCACAGATCCTACTCTACAACAAAAAAGTCTGTCTGTCCTCTCCATAATGTTGTCAGACACCTTAAATAAGAATCCAGTCAGTGGCAAAAACAAACACTTTTAGTTGATGTAGCAGTGTAAATTATTTGTGCACGTATTATTTTTGACATCTGTTTTAGAGTTAGTCTTTGTAGTTTTTTTGTCTCAAATTCAGGACATTGTAGTCAGCTTTAAGTCATTAGGTTTTGTAGATGTTTTAATCTAATCTAGTTTGATTTATTCATGTATCAGAAATTGGAATCAAGGTGACAGGTTGTATAATAATTTCATTCAGACGTTTTTTTCTACATCATTTGAAAAGCTCAACGTCTCTCTATCTATGCTCTCAAAAACTTTGACACAACAAACCAACTAATATCAGACAACTAGGATTTGTACCAGGGTTCATTGTAAACTCTGACTTATCAATCACACTGTTAAGAAGCAGAAAAATAACTTAAAACAGATTGGTCTCACAGAGTTATTGATTAAAACTAAACTTTCATCTCTGTCAGAGAAAACTCAGCTGAGTTCAGAGTGTTTACTAACAGCACAGCTACTGAGCCTCCTACCTGCCTGTCAAACAGCAATCTAACCATAAACCTCCTGAGACAGTCGGGATTGAGTGGAGTCATGCGGGGTTCACCTGTGAAGTCTAGAAGTCTGTGAAGACTGTTTACTTGAGTTTACCAGCACGTCCCTCGTGCGGCATTTGAAGAAAATTAGAAGCGTGGTTGTCCTCGGCTTTCAATGTCAGATAGTCCACTGCTAACATTTTCGTTGCGCCTTGTCTCATCAACAAAAGTGAAACATAGATTATTTTCAAGATCTGTTTTTAGGTCGTCATTGTCTAGTTTTCATCATGGAAAAAAGATGACAGAAAATAACACCGTGCACACATGCCCCAAGTGGTTAAATTGCATCCTGTTTCCCGGCTGATAGCTGCAGCATTCTTGCTCAATTCTGGACTTATTTCAAAAATGACAGTTCCTATTAGTCATTTGGAAACAAAATTATAGGAAAATAGGGTCCCGATTGAAAAGTACCAGTTACTGTCTAAGTGTAATTAATTATAACATAACAGAATATATCTCCATGTTTTAGTCAATTTGCAAATCATTAATGCTGCTGGCCATTCTCCTAAATTACCACATTTTAAATTGATGGGTGTTTTTTTGTTGTTGTTTTTTCACCAAGCTACCTTTTTTAATTAATTTCAGTAGGATATTAAAATACACCTGCTAAGATTAGATACTGGCTTAGTTTAATCAAAGTCGTGGTGTTGTAATGCAGTGGAGAACACAGACAGATATGAAAATGTTAGCTAGACTGGTGCGTTCATGTGCTCTCTTACAAATCAGAGAAACAATTTACTTTATTATAAGTTAGCAAAACTCATTTTTATTGAGTTCAAATAGAAAAAGTAATGAAATTCATATCTTTTTGATGGCATCCCTGATTTCTTATTGTCTTTCTAATGGGTCTAATTGTCTGTCATATTTTTTTAGTCTCAAGTTTCACATTTCCAAATTCCTCCAAGCAGGTGAACACACCAGGCTGGCCGACTTTAAGCAGTTTAATCTGCATCACAGCACAACGAAAACCCTACACTGACTCACTTTGAATAAACCCAAACAATATATGAGCTTTGACTGATTTCCTTCGTAAAGCAAATTTTAAATTCTCTTCTATTTATGGCTTCTTCAAGCTGTGATCTCTTAAGTCTCCACTGCTGCTCTCCCCAGAGAAATAACATGTGACTTCTCTCTGTGCCCTTCACTTAGAGAGTACGCAGTAAATGAGGTGGTGGCGGGGATTCGGGAATACTTTAACGTCATGCTGGGCACTCAGCTGCTTTATAAGTTCGAGAGACCGCAGTATGCTGAGATACTGACTGAACACCCAGACATGCCGATGTCCCAGGTGTACGGAGCTCCACACTTGCTACGCCTATTTGGTAAGGACCCTGGACACACTGTGAAACACATATATACATCAGATACCGCCACAGGCACTAGTGGCGCTGAAAGCTCCCTGCTGCATCACTTCACATTGCTGTGTCTGCCAAAGAAGTTGCACATGAACACACCACAGAGACTCAAACCGACAGTAAACCAGCATGTATGTTCTGCACTTGCATGAGAGGAAATAACTCTCCAAACCAGCAGACAGTGGTAGTCTGTGTCCGTCATCCAAAAAGGGAAACTGGAGGACTGTCTTGATGCTAATTAGACAGTTAGCACATTAACGACACAATCCAATGATGAAAGAACAGAACATATTTACTGTGTGCCAGTGAACAGTAACACAAACCACAGAGAATTGTTCCAGCTAAAGAGCTTGTGGCTTGTGGTTTGTTTTGGTCTTTCTCCCTCTTGACTTCAGCTCTTTGTTTACTCTCCTTACCTCTGTTGTCCTTCTCATGCGCTGAGCTGAACTGCCAATCAGAGCGATTTCATTTACCAACATGCTCTGCGGTCTCTAATGTTGATTCAGCAAGCTGAAAAAAAATCCAACTAGCGCCAACAAGGGCCACAGGAACTCACTGTCAGTCCAACATTGACCAACGTCTGACCGTTGGCTTGGTGTGTCCGGGCCTTTACAGGTTACACACCCACAGTGTAAGATAATGCACCAAATCAGCTTAGTTGTATCTCTGTGCCATACAGTAATGAGCATAAATAATGCTTGTGCTTAGTTATTTGTGCTCTTTTCTGTGTAGAAATAAGATAACCCATGATGATAATCAGATCAGCTAGTCAATGTGACATTTACTGTGACAGTTAATGGTGAAATGATTGATAATTGCCGTCACAACGTTGTTTACTGAGGTTAAATTGAACACCACACTCTAGGAAAACTCAGCTGGGTTCTTAAGATGACTGATTTGGTTACTGATGCTAATGAACACCTCTGACTTCACAAATACCCAACAGTCAAGCATAATATAACAGTTGGCTTAAAGGATGAAGGACTGTCATCTCAGCTGAAATAATAGTGGGCCAGTTATGTGAGAATGAAGCTGATCTGGGGTTCTCACCAAATACAGCTTCATGCACGTTAGAAATATAACCAGTCAGTTAAATCTATAGTTTTCACAAATACTGTAAAACCTCAATTAAATGCCTAGTCCCTTTTACTAGCCCAGTGTGGCTACACATTTAAAAAAAAATAAAATAAAGGCCTGTCTCAATTAGAGGCCTGGTCTGGTTGCCAGGCATTTCATTTTTATAGAAGTTCTTTGGATGTGTCAAACTGGACTGTTGACCACCTACTGGAGCTAATGTTAGTTAACTGCCTGGATCGCACATACAGATGTAAATGTTTAATGTTAGCTCGGTTCAGTTCATTTTCCTGAAACCATGACCACCAGAGAAGACTGTAATTCATTCAGATTTACCAGTATGATGGTAAACAAGTGGTGTCTCCCTTCCTCTGAGGCTGTCATAAATCAGAATATGTGTCCATTCCTTGACTACCCGGTAATGTATTTATATTCCTTTAGTCCATAAGGGTCCACCGATCAAAGGAAGCTCAAGTGTTTTTCATAATAATTTATCCAAGTTATGAATATTATTTTAACAGGATAAAGTGGTGGTGTGTCGGTATGCCGGGTGCTGTAATCCTCAAGTGCCGTGAAACAAGTGTCATAGCATAACACACAATTGATATATTATTTAAAGCCTAATTTTTATACAAGTAATATTCATACTGGTTCAAATAAACTATTTGAGTGTATTTCCCATCTTTGCTGCGCAGTAGTTTTGTGCAAAAATAATTAAAGGGTTGTCCCATATATAAGCCTGTTGAGTTCAGTGATTTGAGAAAATATTAGCCCGGGCCACTGTTTGAAGTTTGAAGATAAGTAGACAAATAAATCTAATCAGATTAATCTACAATTGAAATAATCGTTAGTTGCAGCCCCAGTGGTGGCTGTGTAGGACTGTTTCCGTCTCATGTGACCCAGACATTTCCAAAAACTCCAGAGTATTGTTAAATCCAAGGGTCAAAATTTATGTATGTATTTACTTCCAAAATTCATAATATGTTTTTATCTATAATAATACTCCGCTTCAATCTATATTTGTTGGTGTTTACCCTTTAAAAACAACATTTTCATCGCTGTCAAAAAACTGTTTCCTCTCCTACTTGCTGCACACAAAGGGAGGCACATACTTGTATTAACAAGGCAGTCTCACACCAGTCTAATAACATCATAAATGACGTTTGTTCATTAAAGACAGTTGGTTTTATAAAAAAGATTAACACATTTAATCCAGTAAATCTCCTTATTTGAATCGAGGATTTTGTTTGAGGATTTTATTTTACTTTTTTTTTACAGTGATGACGTCATAAAATAGAACGACAGGCATCAGAGGCTTTATTTGAAAACCTCAGTAGGAGCTTTGAATTTAAAAAGTGACATGCACAACAGCCATAGAATCTCCAGAAAATCTATGATACAGTGATACATATAAATACAGAATATTTTGTCCATATCAGCTACCCTGGGGTCTGTTTTCATCTCAGGTCAACAGCTGTGTTTAAAGAAAAAAACATGTATCCCACTTAAAAAAAATAGATATACAGGTCATCTTTTGCACGTCTAGAGTTTTTCCTTATCTGCTGTAAGGGTTTAAAGGACAGTGGGATGTTGTGTGCTGTAAATAGACTTAAATTCTGTGTATATAAGGTACAAACATGAGTATGACATGTTATTTCTGTCATTTTTACATTCTCACTGTGTTAAAAAACATCCTCCACCCTGCTGTCTCCCTCTGCATGGTTCCTCACACACTGTCTGTTCTACTCTGACAGTTCGTATTGGAGCCATGCTGGCCTACACTCCACTGGACGAGAAGAGCCTGGCTTTGCTGCTCAGTTACCTCCAAGATTTCCTCAAGTAAGGTTCAACTCCGACCACGCCACCAGAGCCTCCATGTCATGCTTGGCTGATTCTCAAATGTCATGTTACATCCACATTCGTATTAGTGCAGCCAAGCTTTGTTGCAAATCCGCAAAACATGAAATTGATTTTCTGCTCTGGAAAATATTTTTGCTGAGACTGATGGACATTCAGCAGCTTTTTATGGCAGATAGATCTGACGTTTGGCTTCTTTTTATTATTTAAAATGGTTTCGGAGATGAGTCATGCGTGGTGTTTGATTCGTTTTGATTAGTTGTGTCAAATCTTTATCAAAACTAAGTCCGAAACAGCACTGCAGACATATTCTTACTGACTGAAGTAAATAGGATTCTCAAGTGGTTGAATGGTGACATAACACACAACATTTAGGAATAGTGCGTATTTAGGTTTAATTTTCAGAAATTACTCATGCTTCATGGAACAGCTTGTGAAATGTTAGAAACACAATGAAATATAAAATATAGTAATTCTGAGCAAAAGATCTCAAGGCGCAGAAATTATCCGAAGTGTCAAGATCCATGTACTTTTTTCAAACATTCCAGTGAAGTCTTTTCAGCCGGAGCACCAGACTGGAAAATGGATTAATGGGGACCTTATTGAGGCTTTCTTTTCTTAGATAATTACACTTCTGTTTGCCAGCATGACGTTATTCTGACCAAAAGACTGCATTAGCTGTAGAAAAGAAGGGATAACAGAAGTTTCTAAAGATCTGTGTGAATTCAGTCTAAATATCAGGCCAGAAAACCTCTGACTTATCATGTCAGACATCTTTATGTCACTGTACTCACTGTCAAAAAACACTATAATATAAGACACTGGTTAAATGGTCTGTGGACACACTGCTGATTGAATACATTGGGAAAAAAAGGTAATTGGTGAGCTGTGTTGAATATTGAGTGGTCTGATGTTTTATGAGTTAAACACATCATTGTTCAATAGAATTTGTAAATTTACTGAGGCAAACAACTCGAGGTTTAGCCTTGCACCTTGCTGTAGAATAATGTCACACTCCTCCCATCCACAGTACACTCATTTCCATGATTTTATATATGCAGGCAGTGAATCTTATTAACTTACACACCAGACCTGTAAGCTCATTCTCAGTTTCCTGTGAAGAACGCTCTCTCATTTCATCTGTTTTTTTAACCAGATGAACCTTACTGAATGTCCAACTGTACAAGACTCCTTGTTTTTGGACTCTAATTTGCCAGGATGTAGAGTTGAGGGATATTTTTCTTTCTTGAAATTAAGGCTGCTGTGCAGAATAAAGACTTTCTTACTTTCTCACCTCAGTTTAAAAATCATCAGGGTTCCTGCGAAACATTAAAAAGTCTACAAAGGGACTGAATTATTCATCTGAAAATAAGACCTCAGTTGCTACTAAGATGTCTTAACACAATCTTTTTGATGTTTAAAAAATGCCGTTAGTTGTAAAAACCTTGGGTGCCCTCCAAATTGCATAGTTTATTTTTACTTTTAGTTGATACTGCAGCTGCCCTTAAAAAGTCCTTCCTGTTGCATGCAGTATGCACACAATCGAGACATTACGCCCTGAACTTTGACCCTCTTCCTTTTTTATCCATTACCATGGAGATAAAACAAACGCCACTTATCAAATTCACCACAGACAGAGATCAACCTGGAGAGCTCTGCTGTTGTTACTTTGCAATGTATGTAGTTAAACTTTAAATTTACAACTGCACAGATTGTAGATTTGAACATATTTGTGACAGTGAAATTACATCTGCAATTCTCTATCAGTCATTTTCATCTTCCGTCCTTTTGTTGTTTGTGTTATTTATGATTATTTTGTTTACTTAAACAATTAATATTCCTATTATTATGATTCAGCTGGTCATCAGTTGCTTGAATGCGCCGTCATCCGTCATTGCAGCTTCTGAAAGCTGTCAATCAGCTGTCATCAGTTTGCGTCTCAGTAGAGGCAACGTATTGTCCACTGTGCAGAGGATTGTGGGTCAGAATAGCCAGAAAAGCATGTTGGCTTACATACTGTAAAATCAGACTGGATGTAGTAGAACATCCTGGTATTTTTGGCACACTGCATTTGACATACTAAACTATATAGTATGGTAGTGTGGGGATTGGAAAGCACAGCCGGTGTTGGTGAACAGATAGCTAGCAGCTCTGGACATGGCCGCTGTTGAGGGACAAATGTTTCAGCTTTCAGTAATAACCCTTTCTGTCCGTCCACACAATAATGATCAATCTGAAATGTTCTTCAGGTACCTGGTGAAGAATTCATCCACCCTCTTCAGTGCCACCGATTATGAGGTCGCGCCTCCAGAGTACCACCGCAAGGCCGTGTGAGAGCTCTCAGCACGCAGCGCTCCTGTCGATGCTCATCTCCCACGCCACATGTAAAATAACCATTACCATCCTTTTGAGTGCAGACTTGGATGAGATTTTTCACTTGAACTGATTCACTTCCTCCGTAAAGGTCTCCGGAGCTTGTCTCAGTTCAGAAGTAAAAAAAATACATAAATGAGGAAATCTTTTTGAAGCAGAAATGCTCCTCTTTTCTCCCTCTGTCCTTTTTGCTCTCTTATTTGAAAAATACACATGAAAAAAATGTATTTTCTGTCGACGAGTTTCTGTTTCCACAAACAGCTCTTTGGTGTTTTTGTGCATTCCACCTGATAGATATTTGTTACTGTTGCATGTGTGTATTTATTAGTGTTTCTTCTGCCACATGAGGTGCAGTGTAATGCTGGACGACACGCTCAGCACTCAGCAGTTGATGTTTTTGTATCTGTATCTTGTGCATTTGTATCAATTTGTAAAAAAAAAAAAAAAAAGTTTCTACACAATCTCTAAATTGTTCGTGTTTTCTTGTTTCGTGTCTTGTAAAATATTTAGTGTCATCACTGTTCTTCCAAAAATGCATTTTGCTAAATTTCTGACGAAATAAGATGAAAAAATGACAGAGGAAAGTCTCACAGGGACATCAAGGCACAACATCAGACATCAAAGTCTTAGATGGTTTCATATTCGTCTGAGGGACAGGTGGGCAGAAACGTCTGTCTGTCCTGCACGTCCCAAGACCAAAATGTATAAATTATTTTTACCTGACATATAGATGTTTTAAAGGGACAGTTTACCCCCATATCAAAAAATACATAGCTCCTTTTCCACCAACATTTCCAGGAAGTTTTATTTCCAGGAATTTATTAACGTGGGTAAAGAATTCCTGGTAATCTGTGTGGTTTGCATTTCCACTACACCTCAAAGTTCCGGAAAATTTATTCAAATCAGTAGACCCGGCCGTTTTGAGTCGCCGACTCAAAGTCCCGCTGAATTTCCTCCTTGGCAAATACGCTCAAAAGAGCCTGGACCTCATCGTCCGTTCACTTCTCATAGCTTCTCTTCTTTTGCTCCATTTTCCAAATGATCATAACAAACGAGGTGAAGCTTGTAGAAATGAAATAAAGTTTGCAGCTACACTGGCATGGAAGTGCCACCAAATAGCGTTCCTCAGCTAACAGCCCTGCCCCTCAGGAGTTCCAGGGAGTCTGAAAAGTCCTACCCCCCTACTAGGTACTTTTTTCAGGGAAAGTTTGGGGTTGAGGGAAAGTTTTTTCCCCGGGTAATTTCAATGGAAATGCACCGAGGTTTTTCAAAATCCCTTTTGATAGAAGTTCCTGCGGTGGAAAAGGGGCTATTTCTCCTCTTACCCCTAGTGGTCTTCATTAGTCTAGATTCTTTTGGTTTGAGATGCTGAGTGTTGGAGATATCAGCCGTAGAGATGTCTGCCTTCTCTCAGATATAATGGAACTAGATGGTACTCAGCTTGTGGTGCTTAAGTGCCAAAAACAGTTACATTGGATGTGTCTTTCCAAAAATCATGACCCAGTTACACGCTTCCTTCTGCATGATGGTTCAGTTTGATGTAGTTTGGTTGAAAGAAAGAAGTTCTTTCATGAAACTGCTCATGACAAGGTCTGTGGGTTACCTTGAATAACTGAGTCATGATTTCTGGCAAGAGACATTGCTGTTGAGTTTTTCAAATGTATTTTTTAGGCACTTTGAGCACCACAAGCCAATGTCCATACAGTTCCATTTTATTCAAGAGGAGGCAGACATCTCTATGGTCGATATCTCCAACACTCTGCAACTCAAACTAAAACAATTTAGACTGATAAATAGCACTACAGATAAGAGAAGAAAAAAATGTATTATTGATTTTGGGGTGAACTGTCCCTTTAAATTCTCTAAAAAAGACATTTAAAGTCAGTCTGCAGAAGATATCAAGTCAAGGAAACAACATAACCCATGATAAAAATAATTATTAGTTGCAGTCTCATACAAAATAGTTAAAATAGCTCCACCCCGACCAACTACAATAGTAAAGTCCTGCTTTAACATAGATAAATAAGGTAATGATATAATAATAGTGTAACAATCACAGGGGCAGTTTTTCTGCATTGAATACTTTTAATACTTAAACCCTCTGTAGTATGCATTATGATGCCAGTTAGTAAAAAAAAAAAATGTTAGTGATGATTCATTTTTTTTTATTTATTTATACTTTTTGTCATAAAAAATATATACACAGCTCTGGAAAAAAATAAGACACCACAGCAAAATGATCAGATTCTCTGATTTTACTATTTATGCGTTCAAATAAAATTAACATTTTTGTTTCATTCTATAAACTCCTGACAACATTTCTCCCAAATTCCAAATAAAAAAATTGTCATTTAGAGCATTTTCTTTGCAGAAAATGACAAATGGTCAAAATAACAAATAAGATGCAGTGTTTTCAGACTTCAAATAATGCAAAGAAGACAAGTTCATATTGATTTTTAAACAACACAATACTAATGTTTTAACTAAGGAAGAGTTCAGAGATGAATATTTGGTGTACAACTTTCTAGAGTTAAATGCATCCAAAACTAAAGAAATGATGATTGATTTTAGACGTAACAAGAAGGCCTTCACTGAGAGTGTTATAGATGGAGAGAAGATTGAAATTGTCAGCTCCTATAAATATCTAGGCACTGTGTTTGACAACCAGCTTAAATGGGATGTTAACACTGAAGCTCTGGTCAAATGTGGACAGCAGAGGATTCATCTCCTTCGAATGTTAAATTCTTTTTCTGTCAGTCCAGTTATTCTTTGTCGCTTTTATCAGTCTTTCATTGAAAGCCTTTTGACTTATTCTTTTATCTGTTGGTTCAACAACCTGTCACTCAGGGACAAGAATAGCCTGAACAGAGTTGTGAAAATTTGTTCCAAGATTATCGGACTTAAGCAGAGAGACCTAGGTTCTCTATGGGAGCAACAGGTTCTGAGGAAGTCACACAGCATTCTAAGTACTTCCGGGCTTGTTTTAGCAAGTGAATTTTCACTATTGCCTTCAGGGCGTTGTTACGCCCAACCTGCTTCTAAGAGTAATCGCTTTTCCAAGTCTTTCATCCCCTCTGCTGCCCGATTGTTAAACACATCCTTATGTATTGTGCGTTGTGCATTGGGTACTGTGTACCTCTATGTATTTTTATCATCCAGTGCCGGTATTGATTATTTTTAATGAACATATTTATTGGTGTTTTCTTCACATTTTAATGTAATTCATCATGGCGACTAACAAAATTTGCACACAGCTGTTAATTTTCTTTCTATGTTCTATGTGTTGTGTGTGTGTTGTTGTGCGAGCTGTCAAATGAAATTGCCCTTTAGGGAATTAATAAAGTTGTCTTGAATCTTGAATCTAACCCTGATTTTCAGTCACAGCTTTCATGCGTCTCGGCATGCTCTCCACCAGTCTGTCACATTGCTGTTGGGTTCTATGCCATGTTCTATACCACTCCTGGTACAAAAATTCATGCAGCTCAGCTATGTTTGATGACTTGTGACCAATGGGGTTCAGGTCTGGAGATTGGGCCGGCCATGACAGGGTCTTGATCTGGTGGTCCTTCATCCACACCTTGATTGACCTGGCTGTGTGGCATGGAGCATTGTCCTGCTGGAAAAACCAGCCCTCAGAGTTGGGGAAATTTGGTAGAGCAGAAGGAAGCAGGTTTTCTTCCAGGAAACCTTGTGTGTGGCTTGATTCATGAGTCCTTCACAAAGACAAATCTGCCCAACTCCAGCTTTGCTGAGGCACCCTCAGATCATCACTGATCCTCCATCAAATTTCACAGTGGGTGTGAGACACTGTGGCTTGTAGGCCTCTCCAGGTCTCCGTCTAACCATTAGACGACCAAGTGTTGGGCAAAGCTGAAAATTGGACTCATCAGAAAAGATGACCTTACTCCAGTCCTCTATGGTCCAATCCGTATGGTCTTTTGCAAACCTCAGCCTGACTCTTCTTTGCTTCTCATTAATGAAGGGCTTTTTTTCTAGCCTTACACAACTTCAGCCCCTAGGATTCTGCATTCTCGCCGTGCACTTCACCCCAGCTGCCATTAGCCATTCTTTTTGTAGGTCCCTTGATGTGGTTGCTGAGTGACATTCGAATGAGTTGACGGCCATCCCGGTCAATGAAGAGTCGTTTTCACCATCTGCTGGTCTGTAGCTTGTCCCCAGTGTCTGCTGCTTGACCTTGTTCTTATGAACCTCCGTCTTAGAAATTTTAAGGATGGAAGCAGCCTGACACTCACTGTATCTCTCTGCCAGTAAAGCCAGAATTGACCCTTTTTTCTACCCTCAAAACTTATTTGAACTCTTTTGGCATGTCAGTAGCTATTTTTTGATTCCAATTACTTTTGAGGTACTACAAGCACTGTTTTTGCCATCTAGCTGGTCCTATTGCAAGAGGATAGTGATGACCACTGCAGTGGTTTTTATATTTTTCCTTATGATTTAAGATTTGGTTGAGGTGATCACCTAATCAGTACCTTATTAAGTAGTATGAGGTGTGCTTGTGTTGGAATTCAACAGACATTTGCACACAATATCAGTGGGCTCTTATTTTTTGCAGAGCTATATATATATATATATATATATATATATATAAATATATATATACACACACACACACACACACACACATATTTTCCTTTTTTTACCTTAAAGCAACACCGTGCCATTAGAGTAAGAAATTCAAAAAAAGGCTTATTGTCTAAAATTTTAATCCAAATTTTAAACAATACTCATGGAAAATATTCAAAAACCTTTAAGTTTAAAATTCATGCCATTTGAAATTGAAAAACATTAAAAATAAACTCCTTTCATAAGTTTATTTGTCTGAGCGTTACCCTCAGACAACATGGTACCACTGTGGAACAACACATATGAATGAATGTGTTAAAGAACATATTTCAGCAAAATGTACATAAACAAAACAAGTTTAGATTTCAGTGTTTGATTTTTTTTGCTTTAGATAGCCTTTTTGAATGAATAGCTACAGGTAACATTAATGATTTAATTAATTTACAACTAAACTGATAAATGGATTTTACCATTTAAAAAATAAACAAACATGACTGTCCCATTTTACCTGAACGCCTCATCGAAGTGAGCTTAACGTGTTTGAGGGTCCAAAGTTTAAAAACTAACACTTAAGGTGTCCTCAGAGTTTCAGGTGGTTTTCCTGGTAGCTTCCCCAAAGTGTCCCAAATTCCCAGACTGCACCTTACTCATTATGTATCCATTGATTGATTGACTCATTGTTTTAGTTTTGTCCGATTAGAGACCACAAGGGGGCAGCATTTCCCCCCTGCGTTTGATTGATTCTCCCAAAAACTTCACCTGCTGCTTTAACCTGCTTCCAGTGGTGGAGGAAGTACTCTGATCCTTTACTGGAAATGAAAATAATCCACTATAAGTAAGAGCCCTGCATTCAGTATTTTCCTCAAGTAAAAGTACT